TGGAAAAAATTCTTACAACAATATTACATTATTTAAAGAGGTATATGTAATACCAAAATAATTTTTTGTAATGTCCCACTCTATATGTGTGTGTGCATATATAATATAAATAATGTAAAATAATATTTTTGCGCGTAAAACGAAAGAATAATTGAAAAGTGATAAATATAAATATATAGGATGTCTTATAACTGATGATACAAGCCTGTACTATTTCACCTGTGGACATATATATTTCTGGACATCCTGTATATATTTCGCTTGCCTAATAATAAAATACAAAATAAAAAGTTGTCATTTATCCTGATTATCTGTATACGTATATATGTATGTAAGTATATATATATATATTATACAGTACATGTATACGTGTCAAGTCTATTATCTTCAGCTACAACATATATAGGTATTAATAAAAGTGTTTACGCGTTAGAAAACCTCAAGTCTAATAAAAAAAGAAAAGAAAGAAACCAATAAAAGTACAGAAATCAGACTACTTGCATCAAAGTAAAAGCAACGAGATATAATTGCATGAAAAAAATTGTAATTAATATGTGTGAGAGATACAACATATTAAATAATTATTTATTATTGCCCTACGATTATGTTACTGACATTATAAATATTAATTGCAAGGTTGTAAGATTTAATGAAAAATTGTATTCTCTTATCAATTTGGTCAAGGAAGCTTCTGTTCTTTTTCTTTTCTATATAAGTAGATGAGAATACGTTTGATAATCTATGAAGATATCTATCGAAAAAAGAAAAATAGTAAAGAATAAGTAAAATTGTTTAATAAAATTATAAAATTCATTACAGAAACATGAACACCTGGAATTTAAGAAAGTGACATTGTAAGGCAATAATCTTGTGAAGATTTTCGGAGACTAGAGAATAAACTAAATAACAAGCATAAAAATAATTAAACTACTGTGTTATATATCTCTATATATATACATAGTAATTTAATATTGTCATTTTCTTAATAATATAATAATTAAAAGAAAACAAATATATGTATATATAAATACACACACATACCACCAATTTTCTAATGAAACTGTCATATTTTTAAGAAGTATATGAAAAATGTAAGATCTCTTCTTTCGTTGATAATATTAAAATAAACCGGAAAACAAAATAAACGCTACAAATATACTCATAATTTAAAACCTTCTTTTTCTTTTTTTTTCTTTCTTTTCGTAATTATAACGAGACAAGACGATTACTAAAATGAAAGTAAAGCGTTAAACGTATTCATGTAAATTCATAACAAAGTAAAACAAATTCAGATTAATTATTTTTTCAGGGTTAATCATTCTTAGTAATTATTAATGATATTCTATATATATATATGCAATATATATATGCAGTGTCACTAAAAATCGTGCATCGTTATACTTACTAGATTAACATTAAAAGAAATGCATTTTAGTTTAAACAATCACATAAGTGTTATTAGAGTATTATAGTATTAGATATACCTTAAATGATTTTTGATTAATCGAAGGAAATGTGTATTGTTGTCTAAAAGTACGGACTATAACAACTACATTCTATCCTCTTCGAAATCCACCGTTAGACTGGCATGGTGTCCTCTATGAAAGTTCTTTTATTGAATGTTGTTTATATGACTTTTCGAAGGTTGTATATGAATGTATAACGAAAATAATATTCAGAAAGTCGTATAAACAACATTGAATAAAAGAACTTTCTTAGAGGACAATGAGCCAGACTAACGGTGGATTTCAAAGAGGACGGTGCATTGAACTTATACTCTGTGCTTCTAGACTGCTATATAGATTTCCTTCGATTAATTAACAAATATTTAAGGTATCAAATATTTTACTGACATAAATATTCCTTATGTTCTTTGCTCCATTCTTCCAAACTATCTTCTGGAAGATAATAAGCTTTGATATAAGATTCTATGTAATCGTTATGCAACATTGGTTTTAAAGTAGACAATTATTCAAACTTTAATTTCAATTGCGTGAAATCCAATTACATGAATTCTCTTCCTCTATTTGAACACTGTTTTGCACAGAAGAAACCTTAGTCGTCTAGTCTTACAATTAGAATATGTAATTATTAAATGTTAGACATATGTGTTAAGATATAAATATTGTATTATTAAATTTATAAAAGAGATACTTTTTCTATTCCTTTAGCTCAATTCAAAACACAATTTAAAATATGTTTTATGTAAAGTCAATATTGTGTATTTTGTATATTTCAAAATATACTTATATTTTATTCGTTTAAACAATGCATACATCATTTTCTATCACAGTATTTCAGTATAATTATTTTATACTTATTATTAGAGAGTTATTCGTAATAATAAATTCACGCAAAACATTAGAAACAAAATTACTCAAATTTTTAACTTTCTAATTTCCTTAAAAAGCATAATATATAAAAAATCATTTGAATCTTCCATGTTACTTAAAGTCAGCTCATACATCTATATATATATGTATATATTTTAAAAAGTTTGTTAATGAATGCATTAATAATTTACGCAAGAATCTCTCCTAATGAAATTATGAATGATAATGGCTAAATTAGAAAACAATAAACTTGTTATTTAATAATTCTAGATGTATCTGTATAAAATATTGCTGCCGATGAGAATATATATCCAGATACACATTAAACGTATCATTAACCTCTTGCACTATGATTTAATGCGTGGAGCTATCTGCTACATTTGATGTTATATTTTTAATGCTCCTTATATTTGGCCTATAAGATTCGCTACGAGTAAGACCCGTGTTTTTTATATTTAGGCTATGAAGCATATCATGAGTCTCACACATTATTATAGTACAAGGGTCAATAAAACCTTTGCAAGATAGTAATGCAAAGAATAAAAGCAAGATTATAATTATTCTTTTAAAGTATAAATCTAACTAAACGTAGATAAATAAAAAAAAAGCAGAAATATATGTTAATATTAAATATTTTTGATATTCAAATTTTAAATGAGTATGTGCGTTTCAATTTAAATAGTTACAAGCTACGTTATAAATTTTCAATTAAATTATTTTCATTTGGATTTTAATATCAATTATCAATCATCTAAACTTCTCGTGTTCTTTGGCGAGATGCTAATATCATTATTCTATGACTCAGTTTAACATTATGATCTCGTAAATATCTTATCAAGTCAGCTTGTTTTTCAAGTAACTCTTCTAAATTCGAACCTCTATGATGATATCCAATTTCACCACTGCTCGCATAAGAATCTTGGGTAAAAGACGACAACCATTCCTCTCTTTTAACATCAGGTAAAGGGCGTAACCTATTAAATCTCATAACTCTTTCTGTGAAGAAAAAGAAACATAGAAAATGATAAGAGACACGAAAAAACCTATAGATACAACTTTAACCAATAAAATATAAAATATACTTACTAATATAATTCACATAAACTGGAACAATTACCATAAGCTCGAAGGTAGATAAGAGTAAAATATAATTAATAGGTGTCAACCATTCGGATGCCCTGCAATATTCTTCATAATTCATTTTATGCGTATGATGCAAAACTACAGCCAACAACAAATAACATGTATTCCATAGAGATGCTATGAAAAGGGGTGTTCTTATATGTTGATAAGTTGATTGATAAAAATCAAGATATCCCCAAATTCTTAAAGTATGATGTTTAGCTTTTACAATATAATCTGCCACCATAACTATCAACCAGTAGAAACAATGAAGATACAAATATATGAAATAAGTATCGCATTTGTTTTCTTCTTCCGGCCATAACGATATGAAAATAATACCAATTATTTCTAATGCTACCTAAAAGATTCAAAAAATAGTAATAATTAATGCGTCTCAAACATATTTTCAATGCAATCATATATTTCAAAAGAATACTTGCCCCATAAAGAAGTGGAATCGAAACAATGGGGATGGTGTTTAACTTTTGAAAGTTGTCTTCTTCTTGGGAAGTTAAAACAGGTTGAAGATATTCTTCGTCGTCCATATTTCTAAATACATCAAAGCAAGCCCCAGACTAGATATAGACACAACAAATACAAAGATATTATTAACTTAGTTTTAACAACGTCATTCAAGAATAAGGTTATGTTTACGAATTTCTCTCTAAAAAATTATTCGATCAAATATAATAAAATGATACGATAAACGATAAAATAAAAATACAAAAAATATTAACACATAACACATACAAAGGTTAGAACTGCATTAAACGAACTATTTCATTGACTGATAGAAATTTTTTTCAAATTTTTCACGATTAAATCACTAACTGTCCATTCGCGTATTAATACTTTCCATACAGAAGGAAAACCAATGATTCATACTTAGAAAATGTTTTTTATTTCAGCACATGTCACGTTTAGATGTGTTTACGCATCTATGAGAGAGATATCGTTGCATATCCTATCTTAACGGTGCAAAGTTTATTACTTACATACAAAGAGAGAAGACGATCGCTATTGAACACGTGACGTAGATCAAAATGGCGGATAAGCAAACGTGTATCGACCATTTAAATATGTTTACACGTACAATTATTAGGAAAATAAATATTTACATAAGCAAGGTGTACATATATATATAAATCTAATTTAATACAAATTTCAAAATTTATATATATAAGAATGTATATATAAATAACTATATTTGTTTATAAATATGTAAATAAATGCGTAGGTGAATTAAAAAGTTTTGAGCCTAACATAGAAACACTTTTTTTTCGATAAAACACTTTTATATTAAAAAAGAAATAAAAGTTTCTTTTTTATTGAGGCTCAATACTTTTTAACCCATCCGTGTATATATTACGTAAAAATACTGTATGCAATCACTCAGCGATAGGTTTAACATAAATATACACAGGAAACAGTAAAGTTCGATAATTTGGGATACAAACAAATGTTTCGTCTAATTTTAATCTAATTTTAATCTGACTTTAATCTAACCAATTAAATGCATCCCTATAATATAGGTATAACATTCTACCACTATTATCAATAGATGAATTATGAAATTAAACGGATATATGTGGCCGTGTGTCACAAAAGAAAGAGAAAAAGAGAAAGAGGGAGAAAGAAAAATAGAGAACGCGTGCGCAACCCTCTAACACGTGCCGAAGGAATGAGCTTTACTATGATTATTTTTCAAGAGGTTGCAGTAGCACACGCGCTTTCACATCCAAAAGGTGATATCGGTTGTTCTTTCTCGTTATTTTGTCTCTTATTTGTATCTTAAAAATGTAAAGATTAAATTCTAAGGAAGAGTACGGAAGAAGTTTTGCAAAAGGAAAAAATTCATTATAAAATTTGATATATAAAAAAAGAAGTACAGTTGGATATCATGGTGACCAGAGAGTCAACAGATCGTAGCATTGGAAAGATCTAATTAAAATAAGAATAAAAATGAGTAAGGACGGTAGCAGTGGAGAATCAGGCGCCCAAGATTCCGGTGATAATGCGGGGGATGTAAAAGATGTTAATGCAAGCATTTACGAAAACAAAGGACCAAAAAAAATAGTGCGTATTATAACGGTACTGGCATACATGTTCTCAGTAAGTTTTGTTGCGATCGTATTAAGCGCTTACTACGTATTCCTTTGGGAACCACCTAATCCACGACTCATGCACAGTCCAGCTATTCGTTTACAAGCTGATCCTCGATTAGATTTCCTTAGAATCGAATCACCACCTGAACAATATTTGAATACAATCTCAGAACATTTATCGTCGAAGAAAAATAATTCTAACGAAATAATTCAAGAACACGTGGAAGAAAGTACCCTCAGTAACAATGATCTTGAAGAATTTATAACTACCTTGAAAACTACCCTGGCAGAAGAACTGATTAATGAAAAAAATAACGACAACGATTCTTCTTCTTCTTCTATACAAGAATATCTCGTCAAACATAATCGAAATAATGCAGATGACAATTTAAAGGAAAATAAAAAAATCAATTCACTATGGAAAAATCTTCGTCAAATTTATAATTTAAAACAGACTATAGTACTCGATCGAGAAGGAGAAAGAAAGGACGAAATGAATGAAACAATTTTCATGAATAAAATTATGTATAACAACTTGATAGAAGAGATTGAACGAAAAAATGAAGAAGAAGAAAATAAAGAAAAAAGTAAGTCATTGAATAAACAAATTTTCGATGGACTTTTTATTTATTTATTTTTATCGAAAAACGATTAGTTAGATTTGTTAAATATTATTCACATAAATCATATAAAGAGAACGTATAATGCTTGACTTATTTTGATCGTTATATTATACTTATCTCGTAGGATAGAATGGAAGTTGTTTTTAACACGGTATAGTCTTATAAGACAGTTACCGAAACGTGAAAAGCTTTGAAAGAGAATTTCGAGAAAATTTATAGAACACTTCGTAGTCGCATAAACAGGTTTCTCGTATGATTTTGTTTATTATACAAGTCAGTAGTTGCGTCAGCTTTGCAACGATCCAAAAATTTTCTCCTTTTAGATCCTATTTCACATGTGTGAATATTTCATCTATCCCATAAAAGATACAAAATAAAAACAAAGTAACAACGACGAGAATTACGATGAAAATTATCGTTTTGATAAATGTATACATAAACATTCTGATTTTTTGTTTGAAATGAATTAAATGGATATTTGGATCGATTAGGATTATTAGAATATTTTTACGTTTAATTTATATACAAGAAAATGGAAAATTTTAGATTTTACTTGAGAATTAAATAATTATTAATAGATTTAATTTAAAATGATTAAAAAATAACGTTGATGTATAATCAATGATACGCTATATTAACTTTGACCATATTTTTATATTTATATTAATTTAATCCTCTATAAGAAAATAAAATTAAATAATATCAAATCTTTAACACAATTTACATTAGTATAATTAAATTATCTTTACAATAACTATAACTTAAACTTAGCGAAAATTAACTTTTGGGAATTAAAAAAAATGCAGATACATAAGTATATGACTTAAAAGTTATATAACATTATAGAGGATTAAAATATCTACGCAATATATATATATAAATACTTTAGTTTACTCTAAAAGCAATCAAAAATATGTCTTAATTAAGTAACGTCTTTTACAACTGGTTAAATATGACTATCCATTTAAGTATTTCGTTACGAAACGATCCAAGAAATCTATAAAAAAAAATGTATAAGAACATTAAAGAAAAACAGGAAAGAGGATGGGAATGAAGTCGGGGGGAGGCAAGGGGGTTAGAATAGGAGAAGATTAAAGCCTTAGAAATAAGGGTGTTCGTGATATAGATGAACGAACGTACCAAGATCATCCGTATTGTGAACGTAATAAGTGTAACAGGGTCAAACAGTTATGGCTTCTTCCAGTATTTTTTTTCTCCGATATCAGGGTTACATAAAATAATAAGAAATTCGAATTAAAAAATGATCTATTTTCTTTACAATTATACCAACCAAATCTAATAAATCGATTAAATTGGATTCAATTAATCCAAGCAATGTTGTCCATCCAATAATCGTTCAAATAATATTTAACGAATAAAATATGGTTTGATCGAACGACACATGTTTGTCAAAGTAGCGAACGGTAGATATATTCATTCTGACGCACATTTCGACAAAAACAAAGGTGTGTCGTCATAATCCTTCGAGACACATCTCGAAAAGAATATTTTCTTTTTATCGATCTTCAAAATTAAACAAAAAATCTCGCAAGTTTTTACGAAAAATAATTTTTTTTTCATTTTGCCTAATATTTATTAATTTTTACCAGAGTCAGAGATTGTCGAGATTAAAGGACATTTGCTAAATCAAATTCACGTTATTTAATCTAAATTTAAAAAGGATTTACCTATGTGAAACGAATGATCTTAAAAAAACAAGAGAACAAATCGCGTGAAATGGTAAAGACACGAAAACAAAATTGATTTTTTCTAATAAATTATATCGAAAAAAATTTGACGAGAATAAACAAAAATATAAAATGAAATTTCATTTGTGAATACTCACTTGAGTATGAAGTACGAGTGATCGATCGATTATTATCTATCGACGTTTGCCAACAACGTTCAAAAATAAAGATACACAAGAAAAGAAGAGGAAGGAAGTTTAAAAAATCTTTCGATAAAATAAAACAACTGTTGAAAGTGGAAAAAAAAAGAAATAAACTCAAAGCTACGCATAAAATACGTGCGCGCACGCGTAAGCTTCTTTCTCTCTTTCGTTTTTATTTTCAAGCTAGCTTATGGACGAGTTTGCGCATTGGGGGTGCTTACACACGCATATATCTATTTTCTCGAGGTGGGTGTGCTTTCAGTAATAAAAACTGCTAAGCAATATAACGTCGATCTAATTGTAAGTAAAATACAAGAATCGGAGGAAAGAGGAATATCTAAACAGTAGAAAAACAAGACAAAAATTAATAAAAATAAGAAGGAAAAGGTGCTGTGCTTTTAGTGTGCCACGAGACTAACACACACGCACATTCACACGCATACATACGCATATATATATATATATATATATATATATATATATACACAAAAATGCATTTCTCTCTCTTGTTATTTAGTATTTTTTATTTTATTCTTACTACTGAGCAATTCGTATCTAAATAACAACCTTATAGATATAACGTATTTAGATTCAATAGAGGAAATTACGACGAGGAAAAGGGTTTCTCCCTAGGTTAAAATGCACGTGGACATCTGTCATATTGATTCATGCATGATCATTTAATGTTTACGAAAGTATATCGAATAGTATAAAACGAAAGGGGGTGATACAATCGCACGCGTCTAATCTTAATGAACAAAGAAAATTAATTAATGTGTTACAATGTGTGTGTATGTGTGATGATTGTTGCGTGCGTTTAATTAGAATATTTTATAATTAGACATCAGTAGGGAAATTAATTAACAAAAAGAAAAAAATAAGACACATGAAACTTTAATGAAAACCTAAAATTGACATAATTGTACACACTTTTTTTTAAAGAACGAATTAATTTGTTCGAATGGCGGATCGAATTGTGAGCAATTTCGTGAAAAAATAAAATAAAATAAAATAAAAGGAAGAGAAAAAAATTATTTTTATACTGAAATATATACATTCTCAGGAATCCAAATTAAAGATGCAGCTTCCAAGAAAAATGAGCGCTCAAAATGTAATGGCAAGTATCACTCGTACTTTGGGTACTCGTGAAAAAGTTCAAGCAAATGAGATACGTTTCGCTGGCGAGGAAAGAAAGGACAAATTATATGAACCTAAGCACAAGAAAAAATTAATACGCGTACTTACCGTAATAGCCTACATTATATTTGTCAGTATGGCCGCTATTATTCTATCGTTGTATTATACTTTTCTTTGGGACCCCAAGGGACCCATTCGAACGACGAGGACGAAGGATCAGATGTTCAAATCTGATTGTAAAACTTCGGACTCTCTAACGATTCCATCTACTCTTAATGGTAATATTTCTATACTTTAAATATTAGCAGATTTATAAATTAAACAAAATTTGCAACATACACTGGTTAACAAAATTTAATTGTTTTAGAAAACATAGAAATCACGCAAGTCTAAAATTTAAGTATTTTGTAATATGCATTGTAATATTATTTACAATTAAATCTTTAGATGTATCTACATTTTATTTTGTATGTTATGGAAATTAAATAAGTAAAAAAAAGACTTGTTTTAAGTTAAGAACTATTTGTAACTATTAACAATTATTATTTTTGTGTATATTATACACCTACTTAATTTCTGTATCCCTTAATATTTTTGTAAATACTTTTTGGCACTACTGTTATTTTATTAATCCATTAATATATCTTTTTATTTATTTGATATTTGCAGAAACTCAGATCGAGAAAACAACTACTGCTAAGTCAATCACAACGAATGAGACTATGGATGAAACATCAGAAATGCCTACTACTCTACGGGAAAAAAGTCTTTTACAAATATTAACTGAAACTACAAAAACCAAAGAAATATTCCCTAATGTATCTTCCTCCTCAGTTGCATCTAAAGAATCTCGAATGATCGATGTTATTACAACCACCAAGTCTTATAAAGAGGATAAAAGTCGAAATTAAGTTTAGATTCACCGTCTTTTTTTTTATTTTCCTTTTATAAGAACAGAGTCGAAATTTAAATTATTGTACAATATCCAATGATGTAAAGGCCTACGTTCTTAAATTTTATTAATATGTAAATACTTAAAATCGATGTATGCAAAAAATATTCTTCTATTTTCTAATAACTATTATTATTACTATTATTACTATTGTTATTCTTACTATTATATCCGTATCATCAGGGGTATTATTATTATTATTATTTAGGTGCGAGTCAATCAACTCTATTCGTTTATAGGATTCAAACTATTGACAACTATTTCGAGTACCCGTTTGATTGAATAAAATGACAGATTTGTATTGTATGTATTATATAAATTTAAAAATTAAATAATTACATATAAATCGTTACTATACTGCAGAGAAATTTTCAATAAATTTAAATTCTACATATAGCTATAAGGTAATATTTATACCATAATAATAATAATTTATATATAATAATAATAAATTATTGTATCATATATGTTTTAACAATCTTGTGTGCATATTTATATATGTATGTTTTATGTTTCAAAACATATTTATATATTTAAGCGCAAGTATTAACATGCAACACATGTAAAAAAATATATTTATTTTTTTCTAATAAACAGTAATATTTAAATCGAATTGACCAATCATAAAAAAATTATGTAGTTGTAATAATTGTATGTACTTTTTTTTCTGACGTAATCATTTGGTTTGCTCTTTCTGTACCGACTATAGCAGACAGTTTATAAGAATCGTATTTACTGTATATACTAGTTACACTCATGTTATTTTTAGAACCTGCTTTAGGATTTTGATAACTTTCTTGCATAAAATTACAAATTTCATTATAGAAATGTGGAATTGTCGGTAGTGAATAAAATATAATATGTCGTATACCTTTTATACGTATTCGATTATAAAAGTGAAAACGCTCTGAATATAATAAAAAATGTGCATCGCTATGGAAGAACATATCCCTTGCTCGTGCCACTTTAGCTTCACGGGAATAATCACTAATTTGTACAAAATTAATCTCTTCTTTCTTGAGATAATTTCTAAGCTTCACAAAATCATAATAATCAACTACGTAAATCAATGTGTGATTCATTATACTGTCCTTGAATCGCGGTAATATTTCCTTTTTGAAGACTTCTAGTCTATCAACTAATGACTGAGGATAACTTAACGAATCAAATTTCTGGAACGTTTGAATTACTCGAAGAACTACTTGATTAACAGAACCAGAATGTACAGTATTTTGTACTTTAACTTTTCCCGCATAATTACAACAATTTTTGTTAAAGATGTTCACAATCTGTGGAAGTAGAACATTAGAAAATATTAATGTTTGTCGATAATATTGGGACCAACCATTGATGCTCCAACTTCTTACACGCGAAAAATCAATCCCAGAACTTTTTTTTGGCTGTAAGTGGACATGATTTAAAATGTGCAACATATGATCCCAATTTTGCATTAGAAATAACTCTGTTTGATCCGCGATCAATAATTCTATAGATGCTAGAAAATCATAATCTCTTTCTGCTTCTCCTTCTACACCAATAAGCATTCTCAGACCTAATATCGAAGAAATAATTATATCCGACGAATAAAATTCCGTGTAAAGTTTTAAAGTTTTTTTCGTGATCGATATCCCTATCTTGAAATCATCATTTATGTTTCCTTCAAATATTTTAGCATAATCCTCTGGTTTTGGATTTTTCTTGGGCATAACCAATTCATTGCCACTGAAATCTTTCATAAATCTATTTTTGTTTATCACCAAACCACCTGTATCTTCTCCAATTAATATTGCAATTAATAATTTCACAATTTGTAAACACGAATGTTTAAAAGGTAAAATTATGAGGACTTTTGGTCTAAACAATCCTTGATCTCTATATTCATCAGGAATATCTGCAGTAGCTAAATTGTTCAATTTGGCTAATTTAGCGTTATGATGCAATATCTTAGTTCTAGTTTTTAATAGATGATTAATTGTATGCAAACAATATACGAATCTAATTTCTTCAGCATTAGAAAATGTTCTTTCCGGATAATATAAGTCTTGATAATTGTTTATTATTGAAAACAATTCTTTTTGGAGTGGAGTTAATGGACTTGTCATTGATTCCATAGAACTTAAATTAGTAGAGTTAGCCTTCTCAAGATTAGGCTGAATTTGTGGCTTTACGAATAAATCATTCCAATCTACTGTATCGATTAAAGTAGGAACTTTACCGTGTTGCGCATATTGTTTTGTTTCCAAAACAGAAACTGTAGCAATATTATCAGAGTTATTTGCATCTTTCGAGTTTGGTATTTCACATATAATATTTCCAAGTTTTGGCCATTTGAATCTCGTTACCTCTGAAATTTGCAGCTCGCATGAAAGGACTTTCAAAAGATTTGTATGCAAATCATAATTAAAATGTACAGAATAAGGATCTTTCAAACAACCAATGTCCTCTTTGGCGGTCTCAATATCCTCTTCTGTATTTTCCAAATTTTCATCTTCATCTGTTTGATTAGTCATTTTCTCTTTGTTCTCTTCCTTTGTTAATGAATCTTTATTCTCATTATTCTGAAAACTTTCATCATCACTCTGTAAACTTTCATCATTACTGCTAGAACTTAACTCAGATAGTTCGCTTTCAGAATCAGATTTACTATTCACATTTTTTAATACTTTCCTATTTGGTAATTTTTCTACTAATTTATCAACATAATCTACTTCATCCTCAGAATTATCAATAGCTTCATGTTGATTTTGTTGTGCATCTTCTTCCTCCAATAACCTCCGACGATTTTCAATTTGTTCATTTTTCAATTCTCGCTCTTTAACATATGATGCTTCTCGATAATTAAACTTCGTTTTCTTATGTTTTCGTTGTTTCTCATATCGTTTATCATATACTCCTTTTCTACCATGAAAAGATCTTTTTTTACCTGACATAATTTACATTTAATTTACAATTCAAAATTTCTAACCATCAATACTACAGTATCTTTTCTCTATGGAGTAGAAACAGTCACTTAAAATACACGTGGACCTCATGTGCTACAGGCAGCTACTAACCTAGCTTTCCTTTTCCGCGTTCTTATTCATTGTTACATTATCCATTGTCGAAACAACATCACGTGACTTTCACTACGCCAGCCCTTTTTTAGTGATCACTTCCGGTATACACTACAATCAATCTTAAACTGCATCTACGATTGGTATTCCTGGTATCGCAAGAGAGAAACGGTAATCGAGAAACTATTTTAAACGACAGGTACAACAGGATTAAACAACTATCAATTAAGACTATCTTAGGTCATGATTACGAATTTAGAGAGGTCTTAAGATTTTATTCAAGACTGTCTGTTGAATGTACAATTTTATAGGGAATATTATTCCTTAGTAGATAACGCGGCAATTGTCACCACGTAAAACAATCAACACACACTATTGAAAACGCGTCTAGTAACTTTAGCCCTAGATGCAACACCGCAACTGTAACTGCAACACTGTAACTTAAGAAGTTCTTCTGTTAGTACAGTTTAGTATCAGTCGCATAAAAGAAAGTACGTAGTAAGGGGAGTTACAAAAGTGGATCTTATCAAAGATCTCGTGGCGCATCTCTTTCCCTCAGAATATTTTCATTATATATGTTGTGTTCACTTCATAACCTTAAAAGTATAACTAAACGTTTAACTTGCCTTGATAACAGTAAACTATATATATAGATAAGAATAGTTATTAAAAAAATTGATACATAGAAATGTAATATATGTAACTTATATTAATTTATATAATAATAATAATAATTAGTTATATTGTTTAACTAATTTCCTTATTGTCAATTACAATAAGTCATATTTTATATTTATATCCGTCCATTTTAAATTTGGATTATTAGATAAAAATCTAAAATAAGAGGTACGTATAACAAGTATTTTTTTGATATGATAGAGCTTAAAATGCACGGATATTTTTATGGGTTAGAATTATCATTCATCGGATATAACATGGAAGAGAAGTTTGCAGTCTCATTACTTGATTTTTTTCAAATGTTACAGTCTGTAAGATGTCTGTTACTGAAAAAAGAATTGATGAATTAAATACACAATTTTTGGAATTTATGAACAAACCCGAAAACGTGGAAAACGCTACTAAAGAAATGTACGAGGATCTTTTAGACGACGTTTTAATGGGTTTTGTTTTTGATGTACACAGAACCACAAAAACAGGAAGTTCTGATGTTGAAGAAGGTATTCCTGATGATGAGTCTTATGCTATTGTAGGTGAGTTCAAATCGTCAATATTTTCATTTTAACTAATTAAATGTTTGTAATAGAAATTATATAAATTGTTTATTTACATGATAATATATAATGGATTAAACAATAATTAAAATTATTAAAAAGGATATAAATTAATAAGAATAATTAAACAAATTATCTTATTCCAGATTCGCCAGGATTAGATGTATTTGGTCAACATCCGGTGAAAAAATCTCAAGAATGTAATTGCCCAAATTGTGATAGGGGTGTAGCTGCTTGTAGATTTGCAACACATTTAGAAAAGTGTATGGGTATGGGTCGTAACAGTTCACGTATTGCTTCAAGGAGAATAGCTAATAATTCTAAAGATCTTAGTACATTTAGTGGAGTAATAAGTGACGATGATGACGATGTGGATTGGAGTTTAAATAATGATAAACGTAAGAGAAGGAAAGATCGTAATGGAATAAAGAGGACGAAAACACAGAAGAACAATCAAAGAAATGGGGATAATCTTAACGAGCATATCCATAGTAGCAATGAAAATTCACCTTCAAATTATGAGAATATGTCCTTGGAAGATAAGAGAGCACTCTTAACGCAAATATGTGGTGTTGTATCTGAGCACACAAAAAAACTTTGCACGAGATCTATGCGTTGTCCTCAACATACAGAAGATCAGAGGAAAGAAATGCGAGCGAATTTAGAATCTGAAAAAAGTGCGCAAACTGGTCAAGATAATCTTCACGTAGATGTGGATACTTTTGAAGATAACGATGGACAAAATTTAAGAGATGCCCTAGCACGGTGGGACAGAGAAGGATCCAGTCATTCTAGTCCTGCTGACTCTGCTTCTACCACTTCTACGTCTTCCTTAAGTAGAAAAAGAGAAACTAAATCTAAAGGGAAAGGCAAAGGTTCTAAACGAGATCGTGGTTCTCCTATTTCGCAAGGAGATTGAGATAGTGTATTTAATTTATTTTTTAGTGACATGAACATTTTGATGAGAACAAAAATATTATGTAATAATGTTCCTACGCATTGTGCAAAGTTTCAAAGACCTAAAAAGATTGTTGTGAAAAAATAATGTAAAACTGGAAATTTCTTTAACTCAATGACCATTTGATATTTATGAAATAAATTAAATTATTTCATCTCTTTTCCTCTTTCTCTTTTTCTCTTTTATTTTATCTTTCTTTTTCTTGTTTACCTTTCTCTGTTCTTTAATTTTGTATTAATTATAATTTTTTTTGTAATTAATTTATTAATTTTATTAAAAATTACAATTCCGTAGAATAATCTTAGAAAGTTTAACAAATGCTTTTTTTATTTTTAACTAATAATATATATATACATATTATTTAATTTTGTAATCTGTATCAGACATTTATTAGTTAATCAAGGTACTCTATTTTTATTTTGATATTGTGAAGAATTATTCACTAATCAGCTAGACATTACCGAATATTCTTTAAAAAAACATTGAACAAATCTTTACCACCATATCATAAAAATTGATAAATAAATGAATTTTAAACAAAAATAAAAAATTGAACTTTTATTCTCAACTTTTGTTTACACACCTATCGCCGTTTTCCGTTAATGTCATAATAATAATATTGTCGAACGATTGTTTGATCAATAATTTGTATATGTTTATCACTAATAATGCGTCAGGCTCTTGAAGTTCTCTTGGAATAACATCGTTGCTTTTCAATATGACAGTCACGAATTTGTATTGTATTTTAATTATCTAATTTGTTAAAATAAAAAATTGCGATATAACAAAATGCCACCTAAAAAGAAAAAGGAATTAGACGTAGTAGATCCATCTCTAACCGAGTAATATTTTTAATAATTTGCATGTTTTCTTTCTTTGATGCTTATAATAGAATACATTTTTTTAATATAAATTAATTTTAATAAATATTATTTTCTGAAATTATGGCAGATTTGAACTCAATGTATCAGAGATAACAGAAATCGATCAACCAAAACCATTATTATCGATTGTCACCGGAGAACCCTTCGGTCCAAGAGTTCATTATGTCAGGGAAAAAGAGGAGGATGAAAGTTCAGACGATGAACCAGAATCTGAAGGAGACGACGACATGAGATTTTTGAAAGATGACGTGTCCGATGTTTCCTCCGAATTTTGGATAATGCAAAAGTTAATCAAATATATGAAAGCTGGAAATCAAACTGCTACCACAATATCTTTATGTTTACTTAAAGATTATGATCTTACAAGCAGAGTTAGTTTTTCTTCTTATTATTAACATTGTTAGATGCATTTTGCACATACTAGTATTATCTTTTATACATCCAGGTAATTCAAAAGGCTATAGAAAAAATGGGAGGATTGGAAATTTTAGTTAATCTTTTGGAAACTAATGATATCAAATGTCAAAATGGATCTTTGTCTGTATTAATTTTAATAGTAACTTCAAGTGAGATGCGTCGTGCTCTTATTGATTATGGTATTGTGACATCACTCATTCATTTACTTAAACATCCTGTTAGAGACATTCAAGTTAGTTTTATCTACTTTTTTAGGAATTATTTTTTAAAGTTATTTATATATATTAATTTTAATTTATCAGCAATTTATTTTTCTTTATCAGATACTAGCTGCTGAAATTATGGCTGTTATCGCACAAGTAAGAAAAGCTAGAAAACAAATTAGGATTCGTGGTGGCATACCTCTATTAGTAAGAAATTTAATTTATTATATAATTCATTCTTAACTATGCAATTTTAACGTGCATATTTAATAGCTGGACATTATGGATATACCGGATAATATTCTACACCGTTCTTTTGATGAATTAAATAATGTTCAAAAAGAGTTAATCGCTGTTGCTATTGGTGGTGCTAAAGTATTAAACTCTATAGCGGTGAGCCCAAAAATAAAAGTAGAACTTCAAAAGCATGGAGTTGTTCTACTCATGGCACGTTTTCTAAAGAGCCGTCACACTGATTTAATAATTCCTATCATGGGAACAGTACAGCAATGTGCAGATCTGGTAACATTAATTAATATCGTAATTACAAATCTTTTCATTTGTTAATAATCTTAAAATATTAGACAGTGTGCAGATTGGCCTTTGAACAAATGGGTATTATTGCTAATATTGTATACCATTTGAAAGATGAAAATATGAAATTGAAAGAAAATTGTGCCTTAGCTATATTCAAATGCGCAATAAATAAAACAACTAGTAATATGGTTAGAGAGGCTGGTGGTTTGGATCCTTTATGTAAACTGATACAATCTCAGGATGTTTGCGCTAATAAACGTTTATTAGCTGCAGTAACGGGTGCTATTTGGAAATGTGCTGTAAGTCCAGAAAATGTAACAAGATTTAATCAGAACAATTTAATAGCATTTCTAGTTCCTCTTCTTCAAGAAAATGAAGATGAAGATGTTTTATCTAATGTAGTCGGAGCATTAGCTGAATGTTGTAAGGATCCCATAAATAGAGGAATCTTAAGAACTCACGACGGATTACCTAAGTTAGTGAGTATTATCTTTAACATGTTTAACATTGCAATTATGGAATTATAGAATAACTTGGAAATTAAAATTGTATAATTTTGAATAGATCAAATTGCTGTGTTCTACTTATGAACCGTTATTAGAAAATATACCATTGGTATTAAAAGAATGTGCAGAAAATGAACAATGCATGGATATTATTAATGATCCTGGACATAAATTAGACGGTGTTAGATTATTATGGTCTCTATTAAAACATCCAAGCGACGTTATCAAAACAAATGCTTGTCTTGCCTTAGTTCCGTGCATCAAATATGCTAAAGATTCTCCTGAAATGGTGCGAGCTTTTGTAGGTGGACTGGAGCTTACAGTCAGTCTTTTGAATAGTACCAATCCTAAAGTACTAAGCGCTGTTTGCGCCACAATAGCTAAAATTGCATTAGATCCTGAAAATCTTGGTATTTTAACTGATCATGGAGTGGTGCCTAAATTGGCTAATCTTGCTAAGACAGTTAATGATAATTTAACAATAAGACTTGGAAATTATAATTATTAATATTTACATATTTTTAATATTTTCTTTTTTCTTTTTAAGGAAAATGAAGATCTTAGAGCTAATCTAACTTTAGCTATCGCTTATTGCTGTGAATGGGGTGAAAATAGTTCTGAGTTTGGTAAACTAAATGCAGTTGCTCCTCTTGTCGGTTATATGAATAGTAAAAACAAAACTGTTCTTAAAGGAGTCTGTATAGCAATGTATCATTTAAGTAAGGACCCTATGAACTGTGTAACCATGCATAGTTGTGGTATTATAAAGGTATATCTCATACAAGATTTCAAATTTGTAAATAAACTCCATCAATTTAAGTAAACACATACAACGTTTATATTTCGTAGCACGTGTTACGATTGGTCGGTTCGGAGGATCCAGAAGTACAAATAGCTGCTGCTAGTACGATTCGACATATTAGAAAACTTGCATTAACAGCTGAAAAATTACACTTCAAAGAAATGTAAATTTCCATAAATTATTTGTACTAACATTTTTTTATGTTCTTTGAGGATAATTTTTTAATATTATTTGATTTAATTTTTAGAAACTTACTTCAAGACACAGACTACCAATCATAAAGTCGAATGAAGTTAAAGCATAATACAATACGTATAATTAAAAAGCAACTTATAGAAATTAAATTAAATTTAATATATTCTGTCTATTTTGTAATTCTAATAACCCCAAATATATTTTAAAAAATAATCTCATACTGAATAAAATAAAAGAATGATTCTAATTTGATTTACATATTATTACTAGGGATATTTGATATTTCGATAATTATTGCTATAGTATCGATAATCGAACTACAACAGTCTTCCTCCAAGTTCCGGAATTTCGCTTTCGGCATTTGGATGCAGCTTTTGAGTGGCACGTGTGCTGGAATTACAATCGAATTTTTAAGTTTAATAATAAGTATTAATAAAAACAGAAACTCACATGGGTAAACCGGGTATGTAACTGTTTGTATTGAGATTATACTGTTTTACCTATTTTTTTCTAAATCTAGTCTATTAAAACAAATATTTTGAACATTGCAGTTGATAACCTCAAATCTAAGAGTGTTGTTTTCCCACTTGCATTCGTGTTGTTTGAATTAATATATTTACTACAGTCGGATGCATTTTCAAATAAAAAATGAAATAACTATAAACGATACATAATCAATTTTTATTTTATGTTGGAGAAAGTTTATTTTAATATTTCATTATTTTAATTTTTAATTTATGTTTAGAAGAAAATATAAATGTTATTAAAATGGATGTGGCTAAGCTGTGCACATAATTTTTAGTATTTTAATATTCGATATTTTATACAGATTTATTTAAAATAAGTAGCATTAGGTTTCATTATCGAAACAATCATTGCATGCTCATGGTGGAATATTCCCGGCACGCGACCGTAATGGTAAAACAGCTCTGGCGGGAATATGATTTTATAACTCATGATCATATGGAAAAATTAAAATATATTAATTTTTCTAAATAGAGAATCTTAATGAAAGATTATGATCTAACAATATTTTGTATAATTCTAGGATTCTCACCAGGAGGTGGATTTAGAGGTAGAGGAGGAGGAGGAGGAGGAGGAGGAGGAGGAGGAGGAGGTGGTGGTGGTGGTGGTGGTGGTGGTGGCGGTGGCCGCGGTGGTGGTCGAGGTGGTGGAAGAGGCGGTGGTTTTGGTGGAAGAGGAGGAGGTGGTGGCTTTGGTGGAAGAGGAGGAGGAGGTGGCCGTGGTGGAGGTAGGGGAGGCGGAAGAGGTGGAGGTACTCCACGTGGACGTGGTGGAAGAGGTGGTCGTGGTGGAGGAGGTTTCAAGGGAGGCAAAACTGTTCTTATAGAACCCCATCGTCATGAAGGAGTTTTTATTGCCAAAGGAAAAGAGGATGCCTTGGTTACTTTAAATTTGGTACCTGGTTCAGAAGTTTATGGTGAAAAGAGAATTAGTGTAGAGGTAACTATTTAACAACAGTATTTGACAATATAATTAATTATGATAATTAAAAGTATATTTAAAAATTTATTTTATAATGAATTGCAGGGAGAAAATGGATCAAAAATTGAATACAGAGTTTGGAATCCCTTCAGATCTAAATTGGCTGCCGCTATTGTCGGAGGTGTTGATCAAATTCATATGCCACCTGGGAGCAAAGTTTTATATTTAGGCGCAGCGTCGGGTACTACCGTTTCACACGTTGCAGATGTTGTTGGTCCAGTAAGAACTTTTTCTTTTATGTTTAAATATCATTTAACCCTTTGCACTATGATTTAATCCTTTTAATAAGCTGTGTACCATATTTAGTGCTATATTTTATGCTTCTTATATTTAACCCGTAAGATTCGCCACAAGTAGGACTCGTGTTTCTCATTTTTAAATTAAAGTGTATTAAGGGTGTCGCACGTTGTTATAGTGCAAGGATTTGATAATAGTTTAATATTATATTAATGAATTATCGATATATATGCATACATTAGAGCCAAATTGACTTGGTAATCGTCGATTTGGTGTCGAAGTTATGCTAAAATAATTACATACATATTTTTTTGTTAAAGTAAAGTACATATTTCTTTACTTTGGAAAAGGTATGCATACAAAGTTAATATTTGTATGTATATACTTTCTCTTCTTATTAGATCGATTATATGAATCATTTTGATTATTTTTATATTCAGGAAGGACTAGTATATGCTGTAGAGTTTTCACACAGATCTGGAAGAGATCTCATAAATGTTGCCAAAAAAAGGACCAACATCATTCCTATAATAGAAGATGCTAGGCATCCTCACAAATACAGAATGCTTATGGGTATGGTTGATACGATATTTGCAGATGTAGCACAACCAGATCAAGCGAGAATAGTTGCATTAAATGCTCAGTATTTTCTCAAAAACGGAGGCCACTTCGTAATTTCTATAAAGGTTTGTTTTCTTCGTAATTTCTATAAAGAATTATTATATGTATTGTTTTATTCGATATAACGTGTCTAAATTGTTTTTTTTTTTAATATGATTTTAGGCAAGTTGCATAGATTCAACTGCACAACCAGAAGCGGTCTTTGCAGGAGAAGTGAAGAAACTTATAGCTGATAAATTAAAACCACAGGAACAAATTACCTTAGAACCTTATGAGAGGGATCATGCAGTTGTAGTTGGTGTATTTAGGCCTCCTCCCAAAAACTCCGTTTGAATTTATGTATAAATACAGTGTATACAATAATTAAATTTATCATTTTATATCTCATCAAAATTAAGAAATGAATCGGAGAAGTGCAAAATAATACAAAACAAATTTTTCAACGTTATTTGTTGATATAAGATAAAGTTCGTTGCTCATTGTCAACGATCTTTACTAAGCATATTCATTAATAAGAATTTCTACCATTATTTTGCTTAGAAATCTTAATATCGTGTTATAGTATAATGTATTATAATATATAAATAAGTAAAATTGTTCACATTCGTCATAAAAAAATAATTTTTTATACAACAAAATACAATCTTTTAGCAATGGTGTACAGTAAAGTCAGTTAAATTTAAGATTATTATGTAAATTATCTAAGATAACAACATACATATTTTACATCTGTGACGATAATTTTGATTTATACTTTCTTAAGAAACTTATTAAAATAAAGATTTTACTGATATATTTTTTGCTTCAAGAGTAAAAGTATCTCTGTTACTTCTATTCTTACATCTTCCTTCCTTATCGAAAATAATTAAAATTATCTATATAACTAGTATATAGGAAAAGGATTCATATGGGAAACAAAAAAACATGAAACAAATGCTAACTTCTTTAAGCAGTTAATATAATAATTTTGTTTATAACCTTATAATGTAAAATATTCTGGGTAAATTGTCGTATAAATTAACAAGTTTTGTAAATCATTTTCATATACATTGATTCTTCTAGAATAAAAAAATAAAATTAAAATTAAAATGCCGTTAAGATTCTGTAAAAGTAGTAAGTAATACTTCTGGAAATATTTAATACATATATTGATATATGTATATGTTAGATTGAATCTAATATAATTTATTTAATAACATAGCCATGCATTCGATTAGTGATGATGGTAAAATATCAAATGAATTATCTATCAATTCAAAGTTAATAACAAGATTTAATTGTAAATCTAATCAGATTAAAATTATCAAACGAGAACGTCTTTCTGGTGGAGCTGATGTTAATGATATTGAAGAAAATGTAGACAATGTAAAAAATGTAGCAGAATCTACTGATACAGCTCCCATAGAATCAACCATTGAATCAAGTACAAAGATTCCTGAAGAATCTTCTAAGGAATTTCGTAAGGAATCTACTTTGATCGATAAACAAATTTACCCTTCGAGTAGTTTATGCTGCATTTGTACAACACATTTAACAAGGTGATCAAATTACTGTTGTTACTTTATTAACTATAAATAAGAATACAGAAATAATAATTATATTAATTACAGCGATATTAAAATAAATGAAATAATTGAATACGCTCATCAAAATCTTCAAGATGCTGGTAAAGAATTAGCAACTTTGAAAGAGAACTTTGAACATGGTTTAAAGGTTGAATCCTGTATGCATAAAGAAATCGGACATAAATAGATCTATAAATGAAATATTTTTTATTGTAAAGCGTATTAATTAAGATTTTTTCTATTTTCTTTTTCTTTTTACTTATATAACAAAAGCTGGCAATCGTCGACGTCCTAGGAAGAATTCAACATTGGAGTACCACGGTACAAAATAAGTTAGATGTTTGCAAAGAAGATATTGAACGTTTAAGAAAAGAACTATTATCGCAGATCTGTGTTATTAACGATAAGGAGAATAAAATAAGGGAACTTAATAAACAGATTGCAGATCTTACAGATGAAGTCGATCGACTTAAGCAACAAATTGCTGCATGCATGAATGAAAAAACAAATTATGAAAAAATGTTGACAGAAGTTAGTTATTTTTTTATATAATATGGATATGTAATTATCAAAATATTGATGTTCTGCACATAATCAAACTTATTAATTTATAATCGAACAGAAACGATCTGAGTTAGAAAGAATAAAGACAGCAGAACTTGAACTACCATCACTTGTCACCGAAGCACCAAAACCTACTAATCCAATTAAGGAAGATTTAAAAATTTCAATAGAAAAACCAATTGAACAATTGGAGAGATCAGAAAAATCTGAGAAATCAGAAAAATCTGAGAGACCAGAAAAAATTGAAAGACCAGAAAAAATTGAGAGATCAGAAAAAATTGAGAGATCAGGAAAAATTGAGAGATCAGAAAAAATTGAAGAAACGAAAGAAATGAAAAGAAGATGTTCCGTACAAAATCGTGAGAAGGATAAGGAAAGAAAAAGACGTGAAATGGAGGTATACGTAAATTTAAAATCATATTTTTGCAAATTTGTAGTCGGAATAATTGATATGTAATAAAATACAATCTCCAGTTACTTATTAGATATGTCATATTTATCATATACAGTTGGAATCTGAGATAGGACGTCTTAGAAAAGAAAATGAAAAATTAATGAAGGAAAGGATCGATTACGAGAATGCTATCCAGCGAGCATTGTTACGTGGGGTATCATCTCTCAATGTAGAAGCTTTAAGAGTTTTACGTTGTCCTCCAATCCCATGTTGTAGCCCTTGTGCTCCTTGTCCAATGTCATTTATACCTACTACGTATGACTTTTATTATTTTACTTATAATTTTATTTTCACTTTTATTTATTTGATCAGTATATATGAACATTTTGTTCATATAATATTTTCTTACAAATACTGACCCAATAAATAGCAGCTTGTTACTTCTATCAAATTATTCCTCTATCATTTTATATTTTTTTTGTTTCGTGAGTCTAGTGAAGACTCTATTCCATGTCCTGCAAAGATGAAAAACTCCTATTCAGCACGTACAGCAAGCAAAGAATGTAGTAACAATTATGGAAATGGAAAAAACATGAAATGCGAAAACACGATCAAACTACCTTGTGCTAGTCCCTGTTGTTCTGCAGGAAAAAATCAAAAAGGTTCCAACAATAGTATGTTCTTTCTATTGCATCAAGGCGATGCCGAAAATGTGTATAAATTAAATGAAAGATCATCGCTACGTCCGTGCGGTTCACCGATTATGAAGAAAATCGAAATACCTTCTTGTTTATAATTTACAAAACCGTATTAATAATTTATGTATGCCTATATCACCTTATCGTGTTCTTATTATACAATAATCCAAGGGGATTGAGATGGATAATATAATCATACAACAGATTTAAAATATAAATATAATTTTATATTATATAATATATATATACATGTATGTATATATATATATATCATCAGAAAAATATTAAACGTTTCTGTATTATATATTTTTTTTATCTTATCTTTTTTTCCATAAATAATCGTTAATATATGTCCCTTTTCAATCCAACATGAAATAACATAAACGCTTATAGTTTACCAAACTTCAATTGGTCGAGTCTTATTATACTATAACAACATCTATTTTATAATAGCAAAATATTGTAAGATCGATAAGTTTATGCATAGAGCAGAAAAAGTTATAAATTTTTACTTTTATCACTTCGAATCGATTCGTTTATTTATCGATCTTACCAATTTTGCAATAATTTATAAAATTATTTTTTAAATATATTTAGGCATATCTATATATTTATTTATATATAGATATACACAATTCTTTCTGTGAATAAAGCAACAATCGAATTTGTTAATCTGCTGTCTTATCTATCGAGACTATCATTAATATTATCATCAATCAACATTATTATTATTATTATTATTATTATTATTATTATTATTAATATTATTATATATAAAAATAAATTATCGATAGTTTGCATTAAAGATATGGCTACGTAAACTGGCTCGGTACGAAATACAATATTTCTCGTTTAATAATTCCGTCGTATTTTTTTTTCTTACATTTTTTCGAAGCTATTACTTTTCAATTATTTATGCTCAAACAAAAATATATTCAAGATCAATTTTTAATAAATATACATGTATACGTATACGAATTCTTTCACTTTCCTATTTTTTTTTTTTTAAATAAAGTATGATAAATTATTAAATGATTTTAACAAAGAAATTCACGCAAATTTTTGGATTGTTGCATAATTCGATAACAACGCATGGCTGAGTGTTGTTTTTCGAAGAATGCAGTTTATAATATTTTGTTCTTTTAAATATAATATTAGTGTAATTATCATTATTGGTAATAATATTTACGTTTCCTTAAAATATATTAAGAAATACGTACGATTGAAAAAGGAAAAAAAAAGAAAAATTATGATAAGTTATCATAACACATAAATATGATACGTCACGATTCAAGATAGCAAAACGTTTGGCCGTAACGTTTTACAATAATCGTATGAGTCAATAATGTTAATAAAATAATATTGCAACGAGTACTCTTAATATATATTTCATTTAATATTTACTTTAGACTTTTTATCTATGAATAAAATTATTGTCAATATTTTAGAGTAAATTAGGCTATTAGAAAATTCCTAAGAATTCCTAATATCTTTTTAAGGAGTTGGTTTCTTTTTCGTCAACAACGTCGTTATTTTTAATGTAGGGAATGAAATAAATGTGAAAACAATGCAAATTATGTTTAGTCTGTGTAAATTGTTGATGTTATCATTATTAAAAAAAAAAGGAAAAAATTAAAAAAAATAACTAAAATAACTGAAAATTTGCTGTACCAGCAGCACGTTGTTAAAGTACACATATCTATCAATATATGTTATTAATATACATATGTTATTAATATTATTTTTTGTCACACTAATTCAATTTCAATCAAAATTTCTACCCCCCTTTTAATCTTGCTTTAATCGTTCGTGCATATTAAATCATTTGCAAATTCGAACGATTAATATTATTGCGAATATATCGTATTGTCTTTGTTTTTTGCTCTTTTTTTTCTTCACGAACACCTTGGGTTTACTCCTGAATGAATTTCATTAAAGAGAAGAAGAAACCGACATTTTTTTCTTAAACGCGTGAATATCTTCCTTTTTTTTTGTTTGTATTTAAGTACACATGTTTAATTAAATCTTGAAAATAATTAAATTTTAAGGAAGATCTAATCTAAAATGTTTTGATCTTAATGTCAAAGAAGAAATTTTAGAAGAAGAATAGTTTAAACAGTGAAAAAGGAGAAGACGAAGAAAAAGAAGATATTAAAAGAGAGTTGTAACAATTCCATATTAATAGAGAGAACGATCATAATTGTGATGAAAAAACGTCGATTAAGATCTTCCTAACAAATTTCTTCTTATTTATTTGTTATGGACAAGATTGAGGAATTCCTCACGAGTCTTTGGATCATCCCGGAAAACGCCGAGCATCGTTGAAGTAACGGTCTTGCTATTGATTTTCTGAACGCCTCTCATTACCATACACATGTGTCTGAAATTTCAAAAGATAAAGTTAAAAAAATAAGTATAATATAATAATATTAATAAAAATAATATAAAAATAATAAGATCGTTAAAATGTAGATTCTAATCGATATAATCTTATTTGTAGTTATAATACTTCTTGTTAAACAAGCAATTTTATTTTAATTTTATTATACCTAACTGTAAGCTCATAAAAAAAGAAAGAAAAATAAGAAGAACAAGTTTGCCTTCTATTCTTTTATTCTTTTTCTTATCTTACAATATTGTTATCTAACTACAAAGTAGCAGATTTTACTCAACCTTCAACTTTTTTTTGTTTGCGTAAGTATGGTAAGTAATCTTTAACGGGCATACATGTATAAATTGATTGAATAATCATGAATGCATAATTCAAATTAGAACGATATCATAAAATTGTATATCATTGAAGGAATACTTTTTATAGTCGAAGATATATCAATGCAATTTTGTTGATGAATATATTAGAATAATTAATAATAAATTGATATGAATTGAAATGTAAGAAAAATTCAAAACGTGATTTTGAAATTATATCTAGTCGGTAATTAAAATCTGACATATCGATTAAATAAATACGTAATACTCTTTATGTAAAATCTTAGTTGTTATTATTATTATTATATTAATGAGTGAAGTTTAAAATGTTCAGGTTTATGAGAAGGTGTAAAATTCTTTCACGATAACATTAGTTATTAGCTCAAGGTTGAAATCGCAAATGAGATTAATCCTTGCGAAAACTATTGCCCAAGCCTTCGAGTGTGTTGAAATGGAACCAGAGCTAAACGTAAGTCATTCGATTCATAGCATATTATTTTTATAACAATTCAGTCTTCAGATTCTATTCCGAATGTTCAAATTTAATATAAATCAAATAAAAAAAAAAACAAATCAAATTTAATCGAATAAAGTATTTTTGTACAAATTTTAAGATCTAATTTTTTCGCAATTATACGACATGACAAAATAATCATCGTATGATACACTTTAAAAACTATGATTATATTCGTTTAAGAAAAGGTGTGCACGTTTTTGCGTGTGTATACGTAATATATGAAAAAGATATATATATATATGTAATAGATTATATAAAATAATACATACACTCCTTCGATCACTACGGCCACTCCCGCAGGTTCCACAGCTTTCGTAACAGCTATTGCGATTTGTTTTGTTAAGCGTTCCTGAACTTGAAGACGTCTACTAAAGATTTCTACAATTCTGTGAACACAGTAAACGAATAACTTTAAATTATATATTATTATGTATTTACTTAGAAAAATTTTTATCAATCTACGAGATCGATAGAAACCTTAATAATAAAGTAAAGAAGTGAAATCGCAAATTATAGGAAGTTACTCTCTATATATTTGATTTGATTATATAATATTTCTAAAATCTATTAAATTATTATATTCTCAGGTGAACGAATATTTATTTCAATAATGATCGATTTGATTGTTTACTGTTTAACAATAAAACTAGAATTTAACGAGTAAACCGGATTACTCGCTCAAACGATCGCAATAGATCACCGTGAAAGTATTTATAATATTTCATGCTCTCAATTAAATATGCGTTGTTCGATAACATTCCAGATTTATAGGGAGGAAGATTGTAATTAATTCATTGGAAAAAAGACAACGTTAATAAAAAATATAATATGTAACCACACGTGTAGGCGAGAATACCTTTCGTTCACTAACGTTCATTATTTATTAACTAGAGATAACCTTGAAGATCAACCGCATACTTAACTTAAATCATATCTCTATTTTTAATTACTTTTTTTTTAACTCCATTAGATTTTTACCTGGCTAATTTACTAAGACCAAGAATTTTCTTGCAAGGTAGATAACCGATAGATACTTTTCCATAAAAAGGAACCAAATGGTGTTCACACATAGAAAACATTTCTATATCCTTAACTACAACCATCTCGTCGTGATCCTCATCGAATACGGCATCGTTGATGACATCTGTTAGAACATAAAGTATACAAATTTATTTGTATATGCGTTTGTATAAAATATATTATAGTTATTCTTCTATTACAGTTACATTCTATAGAAAGTACAGAAAATCTTCTTGTAATACAACATTTCTACAATTCGAAAATTAAGGGAAATTCCCGTACAACGCAGAACGTGATGAGAATTTTTAAATGAAAGCACCATCGCGTATAAATTTTATCAGAATTGCTTTTGGAAATTTCGAATAAACATATTAGAATGCGAAGTATTCTTATCAAGACACGTAAAAATACGGTTGTGCGTATAAACACAAAATGTTGGATAGTTTTATTAAATTTTAGTAGTTGATCGTTTTTTTTTGTTTTAGGAGCCTAACAACCGCGTTTATGCGAGATTTATCTCTGTAATTTCGTAAAGTAAACCTTTAGCATTCTCTACATCTCTCCCTATTTATTTTATTGTAAATATTTTCTGAGAGAGATGGAGAAAAAGAGAAATGTGTGTTTTATTCGAAGAATTGAAAGGAAGGAATGAGATCCTAGTATAAACGGCCTGGGTTAAGGTCCTCGTGTTCCTGATGTCTGTGATTTAGCCGATATTGACCTACTTACTATAACGTGAGAATTCGTGGTGGTGAATAGGTGTGTCCGTGGTTAGTACGTGTTAGAAGGTAGGTAATGGAGGGTGCTCTTTCTCTCTCCATGGTTTCCATGGTAACCTTAACAAGAAACACCTTCGCAATGACCGACAATGGTGAACGTATTTCGTTCTCTGGTCAACCAAGTACAATCTCTTTATAAATATATGACCGAAATGATATTTTATTTTAACATATACTATTTCATTTTATTAATTACAAAGTAAATACAGAGTAACAAAGTAGAATGTTCATTTTTGTTTTAACATGATGATAATTATTTTGATCGATTTTTGTTAAATTTATTTTCCCTTTTTTTTTTTTTTGTTAAATCTTTTGATTGATGTCAAATAGAAGATGGTATTTTTACTTTGGAATTAATCGACTTTGATTGTAATGATTGATGAGGAATTAGAATAAAAAAAAATGATGGAGCTTTTGTATTAAGAGCAAGCTCGTTTAATATTTATAGAATCGTAAGAAGATAGCTTGAATTTGAGAAGATAAGTTATCTTGAGAATAGAACTGGTAAAAGAGCACCACCCTTCGTAAGGATCTATAGAAGAGCTACTTGAATGGTAAAATGAATTAAACTCTTCTCAGTACCTGTAGCTACTCAAGAGAGAGATAGAGAAAGGGAGAGGGAGAGAGAGATAGAGTGAGAAAGAGAGAGGGAGAGAAGTGAACTCAACACGATCGATTGCCATACTAATTTGTCTGACATTTGTTAGAAAGGTCTTTAATTCGATTAGGTAGTTTATTAATTTATATTATTTCTGATTGTATATGTAAATTTAATATGTGACATATTTTAAATAGATAATATTCAATATATTATACTTAATATATATTATTTCTTCTGCTATAGTTCCAAAAATATAATATAAATTTCTATAAGACAACAATTTATTTCTTGCATATTCAATGCTATATCTTTTATTATGGTTCTAAAAATTTATATTTTTATAAGATAACGATTTAAAATATTTTTTGTTATATTTAATGCTACATTTTTGTTATAATATTTCCTACAATTGTTATATAACTTAATTTTCAGAAAATACAAAAATGTAAAACACAATACAATTTTGTCAATATCTCAAAGTTACTTTAGTCTTTATATCAGATTTTTACATAGACCCGTAGAATTATAGAATCAAATAAAATGGCCGAGTGTAAAATCAAAGTTACTCTCTGTCTTTTTTTCCCCACCATTCTCTTTATTTTTCTCGCAATTGTAACTACGTCCCTGAGATGCATTTATATATCAAGAGCTTTACGTTCCCTTTTTCTAAGACGCAGTTAGGTGCGCACACCCTCTTTTCTTCTTCTCTTGACTTTTTTCCATCCTTTTTCATTCGTCAGCGAAATAAAGGTAAGAAAAGAAGAAAATGCGGTACTTTATTGTAAGATATAAGTGCACGAAGTTCGATGTCTCATTCTTTTTGTTTTCACAAAAGAAAAAGGAAGAGAAATAAAAGTCAAGAAATAAAGTACTAAAAAAAAAAAATACAAGAAATCTCTCATTTCTTTTGTCATCGTTATCGTTACATCGATCTTAAAATCCTAATTTTTATTTTATTCTCAAATAATATTGAAATTAAGAAGAAACAAATTACAAATGTAAGGAAAAAATTTCCTTGACTATAATGAATTCATTAATTGATTACTTTCACCAAAGTGAATCAATGTCAAAGTCACATATACATACATCATACAACGGTCGAACAGTCATACATTTCAGGAGTGAACGTATTTCCGATAATCTTGTTGGCCGTGAATCCCAATGACAAGGTGTCGTAACGATTTTGAATAACGATATACGGAAGTTTAATGATACTTGGATTTCTCTAATGATTCCTGAGAACTCAGGGATTTTTCTTTCTTATTTACGGTATAGAATTCTCTATTAAGTGTCACATAACGAGATAGTATATGTATCGGACATACATGCATATATATATATATATCTGTGGTTCTTAGAAAACTAATTATCCTTAATATGTATTTAATGGACGGTCTTAAAAGCTTTTAAATTAAAATAATTAATTTTATTAAGAAGCATTTATAATATTAAATATTTGCTTGAATTATTGGAAGTGGTTTATATTCAAATAAATAAAATTAATAAATTTTATTTTTGTGTATTAAACAAATTTTTTTGCATTTTGTATTTTATTGGTAACACTGTATGATATTTTTTATTTTTTAAAATTGTAAGTTGCATGTTAAAAATTCATAATTAGAAAATTTATATATACCATAAGCAAATAATAGTAATCTAGAATAGAGTGCCTGACCTATTTATCAAAATATAGTTTATACTTTTCTATCTGCCCATTAAAGATACATATATTTCAGAGATGCTTGTATCTAATGTTACTGAAAAAATAAACAAATGTTTTCTTACCGTCAAGACATTGATCATATCCTTTAGTGAAAAATAGCATGGCTTTGGCTGCTCTTTCCGGTGTTTTTAAAAGTCCTTGTCGATCTGGATCCTCTCCTAGTGAACTTAAAAGTAATTTGTAACTTCTTGACATTTCTGGTAACAAGGCTTCTCGCGTAGGTGGTCTATGATCCAATTCAAGATCATGATGAAAAGTACAGTTCTCATGACCTGTAAGCAAATTTTAACAATGTTGTATCAGACTTTTATCATAATCACGTATCAACATATGTACATGTAAATAATATATATATTTAAAAGCAAAAGCGACAAAAAATAGCAAAGAAGTTTTTGATAATATCGAATATTTCAAAAATATACATTGGAATCATATCTTCTAGGAAGTTATTCGATACTTTCGAGATACTTGATTACACAACCAATCGATTAAATAATCGATAAAATGTATATAATTTATGTAAGCACTCTCATTGCCAGATTACTTTCGATTAATGATTACAGTGTATTATGCTTTACCGAATTGACAAATTATAAATTTTTATTTTTTAGCAAATTTAGCAAATGGCGACATAATAGGGTCATAAATTTTAAACAACACTAACCGTAAATTCATATATTGAAATGGGAAATACAATATTGTAATATTATTATATTTATAAACTCAAAATTGTATTTTTTAATTTTATTTTTATATTTTTGTTTTTTTTGGTAAAGCGGTTTTTGGGACACCATATATTTGTGATATAATATTTAAAGAAAATTTCTATTTCGTCTTTCTACTTATACCTTAAATTCAAATAAATTTTTCTTTTTTGCATTTTCTTTTGCAGAATTCTCTGATTGCAGTCAAATGAAGAAGATAATTGATTTGTCCGTGCATAAAATTTGATAAAAATGTATAAACATTAAACGTTAACTCTAATCGTACACGACTTTCCATCGATAGATCCTTTCTTTAGTCTTATAAAACGATCATCTTCGGATTTTCAATTGGCAATGTCGTATAAGCGCATAAATATCGGCTCTATATCGCATGTCACGACCCATGACGACGTCTCACGGGTTCACAATGACGCTCTTCGATCTACGGGTGGTCAGAACGAATAAATATTGACTTTTATCTTGGACAAATGTTGTCTCGTTCTCTCTTCTTAGAAAACAATTATTTTTTTTTTCACGCGTGTATGTGTAAAATCGTTACAGTATTAACTTGATTATTATTTTTATTATTATTATTATATGTATCAACTAGACATGCCAATCAAACTTCGACATTTCAGTCCACTTCTAAAAATGCAATTTGTTATTCAAGGTCAAGTACTGTTTGTATTTGTCGACCATGAAAAATAAACATATTTCATTTTATCATTAAGATTAATTCTTACTTCTTAATGACTCATCTGTTTCATTGATATATTTTATGTCGTTAAATTAAAATACATTCATTCAAAATAATAGATTCAAATAAAAATGTATGATAAGTATTGCATCATTTAGAATATTATGAAGAATATTCTCGTATCCAAATATATACGAGAGTATTATAAGAAAAGAATTTAAAATTGTATCTTTCTCAAGTGAATCGAATCGCGAACGGTATTATAAACAAGTTATCGATTCGTTTTTCTTTCCGTGAATACAAGTCATTACTAATTTTTTTATTCTACTATATCTGGCTTCTTCGAAAAAATCATTTGATTATACCTTACTGATAAAAAAATCCATTATATCTATAATTGTACACTTAATCAACGATTATTTTAATAACGTGTCATATTAACAATGAAAAGCAAATTTGATATAATCATTTGATAAATTTATTATTAATTTTTCAATAGATTCCTTTTACTTATTATTAAATATTTGAATTTTTTAATGGATTATTCATTAAAAAGTATCATTACTTTTTGTTTATCTAATTGCTAAAAATTTGTTTATCAATATAAGATCGATAAGAAGTTCAATAGAGTACGATAAAGGCTTAAAAAAACTATAATATTTAGATTGTTAATTAAAATGATATAAATTAAATACATAAATTTATATCATTTAACGATTGTGTGATTGTATAATTTAAATACTAATTTCCATAAATGAAATTGACTACTTTATAAACAAATAAACAAGGAAAAATATAATCATTTCAATTATAGCACTTTATGATAAACGTTTCAAATATAATTAATTGAATTATGATAATTTAAAGTGGGCGTGCAACAGGTTATAAAATAAATATATAAATTCCAAACGCATTAACCCCTCCCGCAGAAAATCATAATTGGATTTCTTTAAAGAATTTTAATAAGGATGAATCACGTATAAAGATGGTTTAAAATCCAGGAAATTAGGTATACCTGGCGTAGTGGAAGTACGAGGTGTTCTTGGCGTTCCAGGTACATCCAAATCTCCTTCCTCGATATTTTTATTCCAAGAAATGGACCTCAGTGGATGAGGTTTCTTCGCTTTCATTGAGTTCTCATCGTTGACACATTGTTTTGATAATCCATTCATGATTGTTCTTGTATTTTCTTCTTTAAAGGTTTTGAGCCGAAGGTTCTTGTTGGTCGAATTTTCTTCGGGAATGAAAGATAATCAAATGAAGATATCGTAGTTGATGATCAACGAGAAAAGAAATTTATATATGACAATAACCGAATACAAAAAACAAATGTTGACAAGCGCATAAGAAAATATTTCATGAAACAATTGTCCTCCTCCAAAAAATAAACATTTGTCGATAGAAAGAGATATTTATGAAAGTTAATATAAAAACTTACTTATGTTTTTTTTTCTTTAGGTCACTTTCTTTCTAGCATCTACCGAAAAGCACAACTTGTCAATGTGGAACCTGCACGTCACAATTGTCACAGAAACGCGAAAGAAAAATTGTCCTAATTTTGTACAATTTTTAAAATAACAACAAATTCTCAAAATGTGTTATGTGAAAAATCTTTATTGAGATTATTATTTTTATATTATTCTTATTAAGTATTAAGTTTAGAAAGTGAGAGTGAAGATTGGAAGGAAGATCAACAGTTATGCTAAATGTACAACAAGGTGGAGGACGATTACATTCACCTGAGTGATGCGGTGTGACTGAACCGGACGAACAGAATCACAGCATACGCTAACGTCCCCTGGTATATTCTATCTCTTTCTCATTCTGTCTCTCTCTGTCTCTTTCTCTCTCTCTCTATATATATATATATCTATCTCCTTTTCTCTCTCTATCTTTATCTCTATCTCTCTTTCTCTTTTCCCCTTCTCCTATCCTGCTGCCTTTCTCCCACCTTTGTTTCCCTCCTACTCTCATTTTCTCTGGCACTTCTCTCTCTCTCTCTCTCCCTCTCACTCCCTCACCCACCCACTCTCTCTTTTTATCTCTATCTTTGTTTCAGTATGTTCCTTTTATCTCACACGTTCTTCGCTTTCTGTGTGTGTGTGTGTTTTTTTTCTTTTCTTTTTAGATTTTTCTTTGCTAAAAAATTATTGACATTAAATCAAATTCGATATAAAATATGTACAATAATTGTAAATCATTTATGAATTTCTTATTTTTTTTTCTTTCAATTGGAACATTATTCAAATTTATTTCATCATAAGTTTCCTCTAATTCTCAATATTTTCTGCTCACCGTGTTTTCCTCTTCTCTTAACGATTTCTTCGCGTAAGTCGTTAACACCGAATCATTTATTAAGTTCATATTTTTTCCTTCTTCCTCTTCTTCTACTACTTTTTGATTAGAAAATTATTTAAACTTTCTTTTAACATATTTCTTCTATTTCTCAAGATTTTCTGTATTATGTGTTTTCCCCTTTTCTTTTTTTTTTAACGATTTCTTCGCATAAGTCATTGACACTGAATTATTTAACGATTTCTCATATTTTTTTTTCTCGATAATTGTAAAAAATAATAAAAATTTTCTTACTTTTTTTTTTGTTCGACTTACGATTAATTAAAATTAATAATTAAATTCTAATGATTAATTATTAATTCCATCGTATATAAAATGTTGTATGTACAATTTTAACCAGATTACATTCTCAATCCATACGAATAAGACGAAATCAAAGTTAATTATCTTTTTAAAAAAATACTTTAATTCGTTAGGAATATCTCACAATTAGCAGGAAATAATAAAATAAATTCTGATTGATCATTCGTTGAAGTATGTAAAATAAATAAACTGTTAAAAGAGCTAACGTCTTAACGTCACAGTAAATCCCACCTATTTCAAGACCGGTTAGCTCTCGCTTTCCTCTTTTAAGAAGGAAAATAAAGTAAAACAATTTCTTAAGTATAACCCGAAATGATTACCTTCGAGATAGTGACGTATGATCGAATGAACAGAAATTATTTACATTCTTTTATTTCTTTCATATAAAAATCACGTTTATTTATAGACTTATTATTTTATTTACCAATGTGAATTGGTTGAAAAGTTACGGGTCTACCATAGAATCAATTGTTCTCGATTAATCCTTTTTTTTTTAAAAATAAAAATTTTTTTATTGAAGCTCAAAACTTTTCAACTCATCTTCATATTGCAACCAAATTATAACGTTAGATAATATTTTTATCAAACAAGTATTTTCGTTATCTATATTACTACAAGAACATCCATATATCATCTATTAATTATGTGCTTATCATCCGGTAATAGTTCGTCCTAATGGTGAAGGGACGAACATCCCTTTCTCGTCTATAATGAAATTTAATTCTACCGTGAAATGTATCAATAATGGTATTAATGATAAAAAATCAATAATGGTAAAAACTCTATATTAATATATTTAATTTATAAATACTATTTATTTCCTTCTGAATAAAAACCATAATTTTTTTCTAAAATTATAATAAAAATAAAGAAGAACAAGTTATACGTGTACGTAGGTGAAATCTGATCAAAGCAATCAAATTAATCCTATCTTTTCTAACAATGTGTATCAATCATAATTCTTGTTTAAAAATTATTTTCGATATAAATGATTAATATATGCACGTATACGTAAATGAAATTCGATGAAGGCTATTCAAATATCGAATTAAAAAAAGAAAAAAAAAACAATACAAACGATTACGAGTGCTCGACTGCAAATTCATAGTTACACTACTTAAGGTTGTCTGATCACGATTGACCTTAACTACTTGCAATCCGTAGAGGAATTATGAAACTCGTGCACGTCTTACGAAACATTCGTTAAGTCTATTTTACGAGCATTAATAATGACACTGTCGATACATTTTGTTCTTTCAATTTGTAAATCTTTTAGTTTCACCGATGAAAGAAAATTACCGGCATATATTTCTATAATACAAACATACTGATGTCTTTCTCATTAATTACCGAATTAATCGTTAGACAAGATATATCATAGTCTTAAAAAGTATGTTAAATATATTTGAATGAAATAGTATGCAGAATTATTACTCGAAAGGTAAAATATTTGATAAAATAAAATGTACTCTGCATGTGCACACAATGAAATAGAAACAATTTTTTAGAACAAACAAAAATTACAAAGAAGGAATCTAATGGTTTGGAGAATTTTTTCTCAAGGACACTTTTTTACAAGATTTGAAAATCAACTTTACTTTTTATAAATAAAACTATATATTTTCTTGGAATATTCTTATACAGCATGAAAAACAAATAAAAATTATCTGCATGACCATATTATTCTCATCATTTATTCTCGAGATATTTACATCTAAAGATAATTACTCTGTTCACCTTGAATATCTGTTTTTTGTAATAATATGAAAAAATGTTTAGTACAGAACTTGCATGACATAGATGGGGGCATATTGAGATGCTTATTTTTTTGTTATTTAATGTTAGGTGAAGGTGGAGAGGAGATTTCTCTTTTCTTATTGTTAGTGAAGATCATTCAAGATCAAATATTGTAATAAAATAAAATTGTAATATTTTGTAATAAATGTAACTATTTACGTCAGAGTTAAAAAAATGTAACTAATCATGTTTTAATATTTAGCCTTAAAAGCATATAATTACCGATTAAAAATATTTCAAGAAAAAGAAAAAGGAAAAACTCTAATCGATAAAAAGAAGTTGTATACGACAACATTTACCATTTATTAAAAATAACTGATTCCAGACGTTTCACAAGGACGACACCACGCTGCATCTAACAGGATCTACTTACGTAATTATTAATTATTGAGCAACATTTGTTATTAAATCTTTTTCTTTGGTAATTAATATTCCTCATTAAACGATGACACATAGGAGATTATAAAACAACTCGTTTGCTGCATTATATTATAATATTTTGTTTGGTAGTTTATCTACATAGAATTTTATGCGAATTATACAAATTTATATATTGTTAATTCGATTATGTTATAGATTTTAGATAAATTTTATCTTACTTATGTTACTACCTCGTCAACAACGTGTTAACATATTAATTGAAAATATTTCATAACAATTCGAGTTTCGATCATATTTATTTATATTCACACATGATTTTTTTTGTTTGTTTTATTTATATACCCAAAATAAGAAAATAGATAAGATTCAGGTAATAACTTAGAATTTAACTAGTAGCTTTGATCAAAAGGAAGAAAAAAGATATCGGAAGAAAAACATGGATCAAATTAATCAAAAAAAGTCTGGCTATGGTAACTTCATAGCTTTCATCTGACTTACATCAAAGAGCCGAAGGCAACTCTATCGATGTCATGATTCCCATGTCACGAGTATGTATGTAATTCGTTACGTTCACCTGTCATACTTGACTTGGCACGAGGCCAGTTAGTATTGTATATCGTTTTTATTCTCACCCTCAATAGTTAAAACAGTCATTAACATCGGCCTCGATAAAAATCACGAATCTCGATTGATTTCCGAGGTATCAAGATTTATCGACGACAAAAATATCATTCAGAAATTTTATTCGAGAATGAAAAATTTTCACATAACCCACCCCCATCCCTCAGCCCCAGTCCCTCCAACAAAAAACAATACAGAATAGAAAATAATCGTATATAATACAGAGTGAATTAAAAGCTACTTAAATGGACCAATAATTTGTAGATAATTTTCTTAAAAATATCAATTAATCTTTTTCATTAAAAAATCTTTTAAACTAATTACAAATCAATTTCGTTTTATCAAAATTGTAAAATAATTCCTAGACTTGTAATTTTACAAGTATCGCAGCATCCCATGTATCAAAAATTTTAATTAACTTATTTGATTAATAATATTAATTGCTTAACTTTTAAATTGCGCATGGATGGGTTGAAAAAATATTAATAAAAGATATTCGACAAACATATTTTTTTGCCAAAACTTTTATTTCTTTTTAAATCAAAATTAGTTTGACCGCCAAAAAAATTGTCTTGTTCTTATGTTAGTCTAAAAATTTTTCAACCCATTCACGTATTGCGTTGAAAAAAATGCAAGTAATAATAATAATAGATATTTAAAAATATTTTACCATTCACGCTTTCGTCCTTTCGCTTAACTGGATATGTATCGTTGGTTCTTTGAATGGATTTAACGTTTTCCATAGTTAATTAAGATCGATGGATAATAATGTAGAAATAGATGATTTATAATAAACGTTCTTTTCACGATGAAGCGCGTAAACTAACGCTTTGGTTTCGGACAAGAGAGCTTATATATCAGGAATGTAAAAAGTTGATTCACGGAACAAATTTCCCACTTATTCCCCCTCCTGTTTTATTCCTTTTTTTTTCATTTCTCCTTAACGGATTCTCGCTCTCTTTCCCACCACAACACTAGAGAACATACTGCATTTATTGTTACAAAATAGATTCATTCTAATTATTATATATCAATGATTTCTTCTTATGTTTATCACACGTTTGAATTACAATATTTGAAAAAAAATGTCGGAATTTATATATGCTACAATAAACATATAAATTACTATGACTTTGAGATAAGGTCAAATAGAAGTTTATAGAAACCTTTTCTTTATCACGATACACCCTTATATAATGAATATACTTTCAGTAGGTAGAATCTATTAGCAATTGGATTGGTAATTAGAGAATTATTTCTCCTTCGATAAAAAGTTTACATGGCTCTCTGTTATATATCACGATCTTGGAAAAACCTTTGTAAAACAATCCTGTATTCCCCCCTATCGTCCTATCTTTCTATCTTTACCTCTCTCTCTCTCTCTCTCACACACACACATACACACACTTTTGATTCTATTTAGCTTACTTCCGTCTCGTTTTCTCTCTTAGATTACCTGTTCAGATATTTACAAAAAACCACAGACTCTAAATCACTCTGGAAAACCAATCCATTACAAAAAAATGTCGTTAAGGTGATGATTCATTAGTCAACTTATTAATTGATTGAAACCTTTGTAACATAGCACAAAAATATGATGAATAATTAATAACTATACTTATATTGTATTAAAAAACTGTAACTTATTATCGTAAGTTTATGTTATTAGGGAAAATAAATTCTCAAATAAGAACGAATTGTAAAAATGAAATAATTGACAAAAACATTATGATAATGATGATCATGCAACGATCTTTATTTATTCTTTAGTTAATGTGTTTGATAAGAAGTTCACGAATAAATAAATAAATTACCATAATTTCTGCTTGGCTAATTATAGTAGAAATATTATGAAACAGTTATGAAACAGTTAATAAAATGATATTATATATGTAAATTATATGGGCATTTAAATATTCATAATTTATGATTTTTGTAAAATAAATATAGCATTGTACGTGATTACTACATTGTACGATAATTAACTATTACGATTATTTAAAATATAAAACAAGAACTTGAATTAAGGACAAATCAATTATTAAAGAAAAAGATAATAATAAATAAGCATAAGTAATCTAATCTGCAAAAAACATAATAATGTTATTGTTGTTGTTGTTGTTGTTATTGTTCTTATGTTATGTAACATAACAATAGTTTAAGTTTTTAACATAGTTCGGTATTATATTTACCAGCACATACATTTACGTCGTACCTACATTACAAATATGTAATATAGTAATCGAAGTCATTAAAATAATATAAAAAATATTTTTAATTATAAATATAACGTAATTAATGTAACAAGGTTGATAGAATGAAAAAAATATACTTAATTTGAATCGGTCAGTTCGAAGGTTGATTTGAATTCGAAAGACCGCCATTACAATTGACCTTCCATTAAAAAAAAAAAAAAAATCCGATCTATTTTATTACCAAAGAAATGATTCATACTTCTTCAAGCAGCAATATCTTTTCGAAGAAAATACTTTTTAAGAACCAACATTATCTGGGATTTCATCTTGGAATTTCCAACGATTATCTACGCATCTGGAACTAACGGAGCATATGCGTGTGTATGCATGCATAAAATGTACGATGGATGACTAGGGAAAAATACACCATTGTCGCCAACCTATCGATTTCACTTCGAAGCTTGACGTCATAACCAATGAAATACAAAAATCATAACGCAACATATTAAATTGCTTATAAATAATTGATATAAAAATCTACTTTCACCACGTTGTTCAATTTTTATTCATCCTTCTTCATTTTGATTATCCACAATATTTTTAAGAGAAATATTAAATTTATTGAAAGTCAATTGAATGATTGAAATTGATTAATCGATAATGTTAACCATCTAGGAGATAAGTTTCTTCTTTTTGTTTTTTTCTTCTTAAATATTGTCCTAATGTGACGACATTTATATTGTTTTTATTAGTACATAATAGGACAAAAAGAGAAAGAGAGAAAGAACATTATGATTTTTTTTATTAATAATACAAATGCAGAATTGCAAATATTTAGTAATTAAATAAAACGAGCAAAAGATTAAATTTATTAACACCTGTAATTTCATAGTATTTAATGAAATTCTTACAAATCAAGCACCTTTGTTAGGAATATATAAATAATGTATCTCGTTTTTGTAAGAGTACATTTTGTAAGCAGTATAAAAATATCAAAAGCTATGCTCTTATCATAATTTTCCATCAATAAAATTTCGTAAGCATTTATATATGTAATAGTGTACCTATATATTAATAAAACTATATATATATATATATATATATATATTTCTACTTTAGAAAAGTAAAACAAGAATAAATATAAATGTAATAATAACTAAAAACCCATCACAGTAAAAGCGAAAATAAATGTTCAATGACGAAAGAAAACATATTGAATTATGTACTTTACATCAGAACATAATAATAATACCTTCATTTTTCAATGGATGAAACAACTTCAAATTTAAGACCCTGATTGTTTAATTTATTGATCAAAGAAGTCTTACTAAATGCAGCACCAGCAGTAAGAACCCCTCCACTAAAATAAACAAAAAATCATATATTATTGGACATAAATAAAATTGTTACAGATAATATGAAAATGAAATGCATTTTTACCCTTGAGGCATTTTATCAGCTTCCTTACAAATAGTAAGAGCGCTTAACAATACGCTAATAGCAGTAATATAATATACATTGGTACAAGTAACTTTTGTAATCATCTCCTTATTTGGTGGATCGGAATGAACGTCGGAAGGTTCGCTTAATTTTTCAGTCCAACCACGCGTTAAGAAAGTTATACATATTTCAATCTTGTTTATTGATTCTTCACTTGGCTCTTTGTGGCTCACAAGCCCGTAAGTAAATAGTTCGGGATACTAAAAATAAACAATATTTTTCTTATTTCATGTGAAACTAATCATATTTTTTGTACGTGAAAACGTGTCATATTTATCGCAAATATCAAATTACCTTCAATATTAAACTGCGCCCGAATGAAAATTTTGTAAGAATAAGATTTATTAATAGAAGTATTATTCCAATAATTTTCGTTAGAAATCTAACAAAAAGAAATTTTTGATTAATTGGGTGATGATTAAAATGTAAAAGAAAAAACAAGTTACATTTACATTTAAAGAAGAATACTAACTTGGTTTTGATACTTAAATATATTGCAACCTGAGCAGGTCTTTGATTATATTCTTGATACAAAAATCTTTGCGTGCGATGAACTATTGAATAATCTGGACCACTGAATAACACTGAATAATTATTTGTAAAAGGAGATTTGTGCGGAAGCCAACGTCTAATATAAAAAAGATGGTGATATAATATTTTATAAGCAATTGTCAATATAGTCTAAATCGGGGCTTCTCAAACTTTTTTATTCGGCAGCCAACTTTACCCGAGCAAATATTTTCGCCACCCTCAGTATAGACTCTACACTATCATAACTCGCACATACACTCTCTCACTAACATAAACTTACAGATATGCTATACAATAGTATTGCTAAACTGATTTCCAATTCATTTTCGGTCATTTCCCGTTCATAAACATCGTAGTTTGACTAAAATTTCTGTAACCCCCAAGTTTAGTTGCACGACCCTAAACTTTGAGAAACCCTGAACTAAATAATATTTATTTTAATATATTCAAAGAGATTAATTGTGTGTGACAATTCAACCAACTTTGTATTTAATTTCGGCTTAAGTTCCGGTAATTTTTTGGAAAATAGTTTCCTACGATTTTCACGTAATTTATCAATGTTGCCCAATACATTAATAAAACTTTCCAAAGTTGTAAAGTTTAATATAGGTTTGCTAAACTTTACATGGTCTGGTATACTGAAGTATTCTTCAATGCTATTAACTTCCCCGTCAAACTTTTGTTGTGTAAATATGATACCAAGATCTGAAGGAATGCTATCAAAACCACAAGCACTTATAATATAGACACCAGCTTTTTTTGCCGCTTCGTTATACTTCAACTGCATTTCTTCTATGAACTAAAAATAGATGAACATAAAAAAAATCAAAATTATTTTTATGATAACAAGTTTGATGTATCTTTGGTTTTCTTAGAAAACACATTAAGGCTGACCACGCAATCCTATGACATATTCTTTAGTTGAATATCTTTGATGTAATATGTTTCATTGTTCAAGTTATATGTAGTATGTAGCTAAACATTTCATCCAAACAATATCGGTCAGAAATGTGTTAATAGTTTATCCAATACAAAAATGAAGCTAATAGATACCATAGTTTCTCCGCTTATATCAACGTAGTGAGTTTTTGTAGCTATACAAGCTTTAATAACAGGTTCTCCACAAAAAGCAAATGGACCGCTACAATTTATTAGCACTTTTGCTTTTTCTACCATTTTTTTAATAGATTGTTCATCTTTTACATCCGCAATAATGATAGGAATATCTAGACAATTATTAAAGCATATCAATATCGCATACCTAATTTTGAAGATATTAATAATCATTAATATTTATACGTTAACTTATAGATTGAATTAAAACATAAATCTTACTAAGATCTGGTGCATATTCTTTAAGAACGGATTCTAGTGCCTCTTTCCTGCGCCCAGCTACTCCAAAAGTAAAATTATTTTCTTTAACATAACGTGCTGCTTCTTTAACCACATACTTTCCACTAAATCCAGTAGCACCAAATATTATTACATCCAATTTATTGTTCTCCATTTTGATGATAATACTCTAGAAAATGCATGCATAATATGCAAGATATCAATTGTACTTTAAGAGAGAGAGAGAAAAAGAGATAATCACTTCATTAAAAAAAAAAAGTAAGATAACTGTACTTGTAAAAACATCTTAAATCTTTTTAAATAAAAAAATACGAACAATTTGTGATTTTTAATATTTAATAAATGTGATTTTTTTATGACAAATAATTAATTACCTTATAATTTGGTTCTATATTCCTCTAAGAATCCAAAATTTGAAGACAAGCACAATTAATGATACTGTAACGAGAATGACGATGTTGTATCACACTATGCTCGAACAAGTATTTTATTCTACTAACATTTTTTTTTCCTTAATATTACTTATTATCTTAAGTAAAGTCAAAACCAAATAAAAACGTGTAATCTTTTAATGATGGATAAATAAATCTAATTATAATTCGTAATGTCAATTATTAGATTGATTATCGAGAGCATTTGACAGTTCTTATGCTGCGTATAAATTTGTACATGAATGCTCGCTTCGCTACGTAATAGACTTGTATGTAACTCCCTACATATGTTATATACCAAGCTGCATAGAATTTTTTTTACTACTATATCCATATGACATTACAAAAGATTACTAGATAAAAGAAAATACACTATTTAAAGAACTCTTGTATTTTGCAATGTACCACACTATAATTATTTAAAAAAAAACTGGAAGGTAACATGTTTTTCTTATTGTTCAGAAAAGATGATATCATCGATAAAAAATATTTGACGATGCATTCATTATAAATCGTCTATCCTGAAGCAAATTTTGCAATAACGATGATTAGCAACTGTAGATGCATTAAATGTAAAATGCAAATGTAAATACGTAATTCTTCTTCTACATAAATAAAATCATAGTCGTAGAATAACAATAGAAATAAGATAAAATACTCAATCTTTTTATAACATTAATTAATTTATTTACTCGTTCCGTATTAACAAAGTAAACAGTATAAAAATTTTTAATAAATTCTGCCTGTCATCCTGAGTCATTGGAGCTATGTTAAAACCTTATAATTGAAGTTAACATGAACAAGGTAAAATAAAAAAAATTATCGAAACCTCGCAAATAAAACGAAACAATATAACAGAACGGTTATTTAAATTTATTGAATAATATTACCAAAAAATCGTTTTATAGAAAAGTATTTAAAATTTATGCACCCTTTTATAAAAGTTGATTATGTATAAATATTTACTGATATATATATATACATAAATATATTTATGTTGTAAATTTTGTATCTATAAACTATAAGCACAGGGTTCCAAACTATTTAACTTCTAATTCATGGATATATAGAAATAATCCCCTAGAAGAGTGTTTCTCAACCGGTGGCCCGCAGAAAAATTACAAAAGGTATAAATCAATTTTGGGTTAAAATTAAAACTAAATATCTAGAATTACAAAAAGAAGTCTTAATAATTTTCGACCATAACATTCTTAAAATCAAAAGCAAAAAATCGTTTATTAATAAATCCAGCTTGCACTTAGCGGTCATAAATATATCTTCCCTTAATAAAATAATTACTGAAAAGAATCAACAATGATTGCATTAATTTTTGATAGTATAATTTTTACTATGTTTCGCTTACTTATTTAAGTATTACTCTTTGCTTTTCTTCGGATTTTGTTTATTAATTTAACATTTTATTAGTTAATTTACTTTTGTATAGTTTCGTCAATTATTCTGTTTTCTTTTTTATCATTATTTGAAAAAATATATATACATTAAATTTGTTAAACGTTATAATAATTGATCCGTAATAAAATAATTAAAAAATTGATTGATTCGCGGAATGTAATCAGTTGAGAAACGCTGCTCAAAATAAACTTGTACCTGTTTTTTAATGTCCTTTTTTAGTTTCGTAACAGACAAATATTATAGTCATCATTCTTTCTATACAGGGTGTCTGAGGTTTTTTCGTGCACACGTTATGAACGTTTCTATGCTCAAAAATAAGACAAAAATGTTGAATAAACATAAGTTATTTGAAGTTTTATTCAGAACGCTCATAAGGTGTGTACGAAGAAATTTCAGACACACTGTATATAAAATTGTTTTGAGGTCTTTTCATAACAATACGCACTATACTCCTGAAATAAAAATTATGTCTATAGTTATTACGTAATTAATGATTTTAAAAAAAAATATCATTTTAAAATTCGAAAAAACATTTTATTAATAAAATAAATATTATTAATAACAAAATAATGTCATACACAATATAATTTCTACAAGTTCTATTTTTTTTTTATAAAGTCACAACATTGCGTATTTTATGAACCGATTTTTCAAATTATCTTTTCGACATTTTAAAAATTACGAAGAAATAAAAAAATATGTAATTAACATCATACGTACGAATACGGATTGAATTTTTTCGAAATATGTATGAGCTTGGAGGAGATCGATAAAGCTAAGAACAAAAAAAATGGAATAAGGATTTATATCCGATTTCCATTTGTCAAGTTCGCTTGACAATGAATAAATTATTCTTGTCTCTTAACGCCAAACAGATATTACATAAACACCAAGGACATATATTATTCTACAATTTCTTATGATTTTTAGAGAATAAAGAATAATCGATCCTTAAAGTTTACAAATTCTGTACACACACATAACACACTTTAAATACACAAAAAAACAGTTCCTATAACGAATCCACACTGGCCGGGATCGCAATGAACAACAGTTACTTGTATATATAAAGACAAATAGATATATAGATAAATAGATTCTTGTAACTAATAATCTTATCAATGAACACATATACTTAAGGTCTTGTAAAATGCAAAAAGTGGAAAAAAGAAAAGCACGTAATATTTAATCTAATGAATTAATTGACAAGATATTCCTCCATTTCAAATTTCATTAATGTAATTAACTTTCAGGGGCTGTAAAATGTAGAAGAACCGGGCTTGCATACGCAAATGGTATTGAATCATGTGTATTGTATAATTAATAATTATTTTATTCTCTTATATTATATTTACATTGTTTGTTTGTCTTCTTTTAATGTTTATGACTTGTACTCAGCTAATAATAAATTAAAAATAGCTCGCTGCTTTTTTTTGAGAGAACATCACTTTGCAATTAAAAAATTAAACTAGCTGATTTCTATCACGGTGCGGCGCACATGTATTTTTCTGTTCACAAATATGTATTTTATGCATGTCTCTTATGTAATCCTATTCATTTATGTATGTATGTATGTATGTATGTATGTTGGACACAAAATATGATTAACATATTAGCAAGACTCTATTATATTTAAATATATGCATATATATAAATCATCACTCTGTCCAAATTCTTATATGCTAATATATATTCTAAATTTATACAAATGCACACTAAAATTGCAAAATGTTATCTATCGATTAATAATTATAGTTTTATATGAATAAAATAATCTACAAAATAATTTATATATAGTTGTTGTTTTCATTTTTACTCTTCTTCTTCTTCATGGTTTTTGTTTCCTTTCATTCTTTTTTTGTACAATCTAATAAAGGCATAGTATTATTTAGTGTTGAAGATGAGTTTAAATCGTAAAATAATTTATACAATTGTAATGAATCTTTTTTGTTTCATTGCGTGTTTATTAAACACTTTTTATTCATTATCGACAAATTAATTAATCCTTTTGATCACTTTCCTTTTTTTATACGCGATTACAAAATTTCAGCACATATACATACATACATATATATATATATATATATATATATATATATATATATATATATATATATATATATATAAATATATACACACATATATTATTATATATGTATATACAAATATATATATATATATAAAGATAGATAAGAGATATACGAAAAAATGGAATACTTTATAAAACACCACACAACATGATAAATGGTGCGCATTCGGTATTCCTACTGAAAAGTGCTATATAAACGTCATGATTATCAAGAGTCGGATTAAAAAATATTTCAATAGATCAATGCTTTTCTCTTGTAGAGTGTCTCTTATAATTATACAATTAAAATTCTTTTTTTTTTCTTTGTTTCATTTTCCTTTTCTTACGCATATCTCTACAATTATATTCGCTTATCTTTTATTGAAGCAGGGCTGAGAGAAGACATCAGTCTTCCTGTTACTATTTTAAAACAAATTTTTTCTTTCATTATTTTCTTTTTTTTCAGTAAGGAAACTTATACAATCAATCAATCTCTCTTTCTTTCTCTCGTAGGCCCTACAGTTAAAGATGGGATACAACCATTAATCTTATCCTAATATATTTACATTATTTCACAATCTTATTTTCGGGTAAGACAAACTTGTTATATTTTAAAGAAATCATAACTCAATCGTAGAGAATAATTATCGTCGATGTATATCCTTTCCGAGACAATTATGCCAATAACTATGACAATGGACTTTTTCCGATATGGAAAAAATTACTTTTACCGTTTACTTTATATTGCAATTATTTATATCTCAAAATGAATTATAAAATAAATTGTATTTTTTTAAACTTAATTCATTGTCATAATTATCAGAACGATTGTAAGACTTTATAAAAACTAATAGAAAAAAAAGTGATCAAAATTGGATTATCACTAGTTTCAAATACTATGTATATATGATAATAGCTTTTTCAATGAGGCGCAATAACTTTTAACAAATCTTACATTTGCACATTAGCACAAAATATATGATTTGAATAATGATTGAAATAATGATTTCAATCAAAAATTTAGTTCAATTTGACATTTATCTTATCTTTCTTTTTTGTATCGATATGATTTCCAATTGAGATATTATGTAATGTAATATAAAATGCAAAAATTGATGTACAACGAAAATTCTGTAAAAATCTCTTCTATACAAGTTATCATGTAGATACTATACATATATTTTTAATTACAAATTAATTTCTTAAAATATTAAAGGAGTAATCTTAAAATGAAATGAGCTATTAATGGTGATTGATAATTATCATCTAAGTAACACACCCAAAATGTAATGAACCTGTACAAATATAGAATTGGAAATGCAAAAATACATGAGAGATGAAATGGATGGGAAGGCATTTTGTTTTAATAATTGGATCGTGTTAATTGGAGCGATATATGACAATACAAACTGTTTCTCTATATCCAGTTTTGTATAACTTGATTTCATATAGAATTACTTGTGATCGTAGATATTTAATAATTAGATGTATCTTCTTAATCAAAGAAGATTTTTGAACGTAATTTTAATTTTACAGAAATCACTGATACATTATTTCTTTTTTTTCTCTGAAGAATATTTTTCGTAAAAGCTCTAATATATAAAAAAAAGTTGATCATTATGTTCAAATGACATATTTGAAAGATATATATATATATATATATATATCATATTATCTTTGGGTTAACTAAATGAAAATCAATTATCCCATACACGTTAATGCCTTCTTCAAATAGAAAATCCAATAAATATCCACCTTAGGAAATAAAAGGATATTTAACAAATAAAATAATAGCTCAATAAATATGTATATGAATACATATTTATATATATATATTTCAGTATATCGTAATTTCATTTTTGCCCAATCTATCATATATCATTGAAATATGTTTTAAATACGATCGCGCTTGCCAATCTTAATAAAATTATTTTTGTTGCGTGTTAAGTAAGCAGTGGAGGATAATCGACTTTTTACATAGCTACAAATCACAAGTGGTGCTAAATAACAGGAAGGATTATATATATTGAATATTAAATACACTTAACACATAATTCCTTTCTGTTAATTATCACTACTTAAAGTGCTGTTTTCGTGTAAAATTATATGATGTTTCAACAAAGTTTTACACTTGCTTGACAATACACAAGAACGCCCGAAAAGAGGAGCACTAGGAATTGGCATTTGGTGGTGGTGGCCTCCTATCATAATCTCTTCTGTAATCTTTGCTAGGTCGCCATTCATTCGAATAACTGTCTCCAGGATAACCTCGACCTCTAAAATGACTTTGTGGCATATCATTAGGTGCGTATCCACCACCACCTCCGCTTGCGTAACTACCTGGACCGTAACCGTAATTAGGTGGTCCAGATGGATATCTGTAATAATCACTAAAATTCAATTTACGTAAAATAATTTAAAATACTCTTAATAGGAAAAATCACTAAAGTGCGCGCGTGTTAAGTTTAAAAATTAAATACAAACCTTCTTTTATCGTTTATGTGCATGCCACGATCTCTGTCTCGTTCTCTGTCCCGATGATATCCACTAGATAATCGTCCATAGGGTTCGAATCTATCACGTTTATGGTCTGCAAATCTAAGCAAATTTAATATTTTTAAATTAATCAATCGCCTGTAGAAAGTAAATAAATGGTTTTCCCTAATAAGTGGGAAATATTGCAATGATTATAGCAATGATTTTAATGATTGCAATGATAATTAGCAAACAGAAACTTACCTTCCATCTCTCATATCTCTGGAATCTCTAGGTAATAACCAGTGATCGTCGTCTCTACTACCGCTATAATGTCCTCCACCCATGCTATAACCACCGCTATCCCTTCTGATGCGTTCATCTTTTACGCAACTTAATCTGTCCATTCCTCTGTCATTATGACTTCTATCTCTGTCTCTGTCTCGTTCCCGATCCCGTTTCATATCTTTGGACTTTGCATCTTTTTGCTCTTTATGCCTTGACGTATCCGTAGTATTAGTTGTATTCGATGTAGAATTTGCAGTTGATGTTATAGGAGTTATCGTAATAGTACCGATAGTAACAGCCGAAGTGTTGCTAATATTGCTCATAGCATTAATAGCTGTGTTAACATGTTTCTTACTTGGTATACTGCTATTAGAATTTTCTTCCACATCATCAATTCTACGTTTTAATTGACGTGATTCTTTATTACTTGAATCTACTAGCTGTTTATCATTGTGCTTGTCGTAAGATTTTTCGTGTTTCTATTGGAGCAAAATAATATTTTGTATTAAACACAATATACATTCATTCTGAACATACAGAAAGTTTTATAAGATAAATATATAGCTAATATATAAAAGGATAAAAAAAATTATACCTTAGAATTATTTGCCTCTTCCTTCTTCTCGGGACTAGAACTCACATTCACATTGTTATCCCCATTACTCTTTCTTGTTGCATGTTTATATAATTTATAGAGCTTTTTAGCATCGAATTCTGTAAACTTTGATACAAAGTACCATAAATTGCTTCGCCATTCTTTTATTTGCACTGGTTCTCTATATTCTGCGAGACAAGTATTTATTTGATTTCCAATTTGAACCAAACATTGGCGTGTGTGAGTAACTTGGTCTTCCGCGCTCAACGATTCGTCTGGTTTGTCCAAAGCTTTTAAAGCCTTTTTTACTGGACGCATCTTTTCTTTACACTAATGAACAATATAAAATATTTAATATTACGTTTAGATTTAATATTTTTTTTCAAGCTTTTTTATTAATTCAAATTTTTGGATATAATTTTATGGGTACAAATAGGAGCATAAAAAAGATTTACCTCATTAAATATAGATGGATCTAGATCACCAAGAACGTCAAGAGCTCGTGGTTCGTTGTTAGCTGTGAAATGCATAGGTCCAGCAGTTTGTTTACTTTTTTTAGCCTTTTTATTTTCCTTCTTCTCTTTCTTAACTTTCTTTTCTTTTTTCTTTTCTTCTGACACTTCTTCGGGTTCTTCTTTAATTTCTTTTTTAACGATAACGTCTTCTTCTTTCTTTACTGGCGTCTGTAAAATCAAATTACAAAATTTGGTTACTCGATCGAACGAATTTTACTACATAATATCTCTCTCTCTCTCTCTCTCTCTCTCTCTCTCTCTCTCTCTCTCTCTCT